TCCTAATATAATTTTCTGGAAATGGAGGTGGTTCCATGGCTGTTGGCAAGCAGTGTATTTCACTGAAGATGACCCCACTTAGTCATAGAGTGCATTTTTTATATATCTCTCGCTCCAGCAAATTTCAGGATCCTCACCCAACGATTACGTAAGATACAGGGGTGTTGTCATTAGCAGTGGGTCACACTGAATTTTAGGTATTCATTCATATTTAAACCAGAATTCACATCATCGGATCGCATTTAAACATTCCATTGTATGATTCAGACATGTTCTAGATAGACCAGCAATACCTTTCAAACCTCAAGGTAATCAGAAGATTATTCGTGTTCCTAAGACTTATAAGGTAATATGAGGAGGTAAAATATCTCTCCTGCATGAAGAAGAAAAGTATACTTTCAACCTTAATTGTTCTGACTGAACCTTTCTCCTGAGGAGAATATTTTCGAAAAATTAATTAAGTGGAAAAAGTTGTTTCAAAAAAATTAACGCCTCGCAGGGATTGAACCCGAGCCACCACCGTGGAAATCCGATACATAAACCACTAAGCTATCGCTTTATTCGTAATAATCGTAGTTTCTCAATATAAAGAAGGAAGAAATATCTTGGGTAACGTCACTTGACCTCGATGTTTGAAAGATTCGCTGGACGCTTGTAGCACCCGTCTCGATTCTCATTGGCTCATTTGAATACACCTCACTATCACAACCAATAATTGAATGGTGCCAAATCGCTTAGCACAATATAGCACAAAGTTCGAACAGTGCTCAAATCGGTAGTGGTATGTTATACAGGGTGTCCGGAAAGGTAATGACGTGAATGATGTTGCTGATAGAGTGAGCCAAAATAATATCACTACTTCACATAAAGAAAATTGCTAACGCACTTCGTTACGGAATTATTGACCTTGAAAGTTTGGATAAAAAAATATATTTCATGTATAACTTTCAGACGGTTGCCATGGTATCGATGATATTCCGGCTAATAAATTAACTCATACTAATGTATCGAAATGTACACGGATATTCAGTGATTATGTTAAATACAGGATGGTACATTTTTTTCCGTTTAATGGAGGCATTTTGGACAGAGGTGACAAATTCGACATTTTAGTTTCAATTTTGGTTTCTTGATCTTTTTCCTACAAAAATGGTATTCTTCCTTTTAATCGATATCTTGTATTGTTCTGGAGAAAGTCGCATTTTGAAAACATACATACCAACCATCTCGAAAAGAATAAAATCTCTATTCATTCAATAACATCATGGTAGTTGACCTTGAAAGTTCCTGCTATATAAACTTTCAAGAGCAATAAGTCCGTAACAAAGAGAAATTTATAATATTAAAATGCGATGTTTTCTAGAATGTAACAAGATATCGATTGAAATAAATTATACCATTTTATTAAAAAAAGGTGAAGGAATCAAACGATTCAAGCAAAATGTAAAATTTGTCACCTTTGTCAAAAGTGCCTTCATTGAACGGTAAAAAATGCGTCCCATCCTGTATAAAACATAATCAGTGAACAGATCGAAACAAGCATTAGTATGATTTTTTTTTTAATAGAAAATACTGACATTATTTTGGTTCACTCTATCAGCCCCATTTATCATGACTTTTCCGGGCACCCTGTATAGTTCACGGTGCCCAAATCTAATGCAGAATGTTTCAGTGGTACCTACTGAAAAGCAGAGTGGAATGTCAATTCATAGATCGCTACCCAAAACATGTATAAAAATACCTCGACAAATTATTTCTCTTATGAAGATAATTGTTATAGGTTATGATGAAATACCTCAATAAAACCTGATTCAAAACGAGAGCCTAGATTGAGCTTTCTCCGTACTTGTTCACTCGTTCAAACTACACTCCAAATCAAGCTTTGACTAATGGTTGATGGACTCCTCCAAAGTTATCCCATCATTGAAACATGATTCTAACAAATTCTAATTTTGTCTCTAGATCGTAAGTAAGAATCAGCTCCTGCACTTTTTGAAATATGATTTTATTCATTTTTGAACTGAATAACCGTGGGATATATATCCTGCCTAAGACAAATTACAACATCCAGGGTGTAGTAAATAATTGTACAAAGAACTATATAATACCAATCATATATGATTTCTCATACCTAAAAACCCCTGGTTTCGATATGTTCATCAATCCATGTCCAAAACTCCAAAAGTTGATGCAAAAAATGGATTTCATAATGGTACTCCTGATATCCCGCATATCTTATTAGTACTATTTTATTGAAGCGACTTCTTAATCTTTTTCCGAAGTCATAAATCTTTTCAAGTTCTTTGTATAATTTTGGTTTATCAGGATATATCCCACGGCTATTCAGTTCAAAAATGAACATAATCATACTTCAAAAAGTGCCGAAGCTGATTGTTAATTGCGCCCACAGACAAAACTAGAATTTGTTATGAATCATTTTTAAATGATGAGATGACTTTATTGGAGGATTTCATCAATTACCATGTGTCAAAACTCGAATTGAAGTTTAGTTAGATCAAGTACGGAAAAAGCTCAATCTAGGCTCTCGTTCTGGCTCAGGTTCTATTGAGTTATTTTATCATAACCTAACAATTATTTTCATAGGAGAAATAATGTTTTGGATAGCAAAACATTCTACATTAGATTCGGGCACCGTGATACCTATTTTCAATGCGTTTCTGTGTAAAGGAGGGGATGGAGGTCACAGACATGCTTCAAAAAATGTGCTAATATATTGGGCATTCTATTTAAAATAAGTGATCCTTACCCTCTAGATTTTTCCCGATGCCTCCTGTAAATGCGGCAATAATTTCTAGTTACGAAACATTCGTTTTTGAATCAAGTTCCTAGCTATCATAGAACTTGAGCAATCGAGCTCCGACGCACTAATCCCAGATAGCACAAATACATTTTGACGCCCTTCTGAGGCTTTCACAATAATGTCCTCAGGTCGTCGAGGGCGAGCCTGACGACATTCCTAGACCGTCCTCCTGTTACAGTTCTCTACATCCTAATAACGTCTTAGAACATCCGTATAAGGTCTTCTGGGACATGTATAGGACATTATGGGAACATCTTTAGGTAGTTTTCAAAGATGTCTAGGGATAGGCTGATATAAATGAAATTTTATTGAAAAAATATGGATATCATGATATTTGCAAAATTTTCCCTGGAATTATAATATGTTCAAATAAAAAACTTACATTCTATTATTTATAACTTATTGTGAAGATTTTCGAGTTCCGTTTTGAAAAAATGTATCTCAGCTTCTTGTTGAGCACTACTAGAAGTTATTGCCCATTGGCAATATTTCTCTATGTGGTTTTTGATTTCTCAACTCTGGATGCTGAATCTACTGAAAGTTGAAGCCTTCATACAATATTTTATAGATGACATCAAGTTTGTGTATTCCATAACCTTCTGAAACAAACATTGATTAGATATCTCATATCCATGTAATATCTATGATTTGATCCACCTACCTTTGTTCCTTTCTTCCTCAGAGAAAACTAATCATCAACATAATAATACACTATGATGATTTTTGTTTCGTTCTAATTCTGTTGTAAGTTCTCTTCTTGTTATCATTTGTGATTTCTGAACCCTGGGCATCCTTTCAGATGCTCAATTTACTGAAAGTTCGAGCCTGCATACCATCTTTGATAGATTCCAAAGAAGCCAAAATATCTTGGAATTAAACATCTCTGCTCTAATGATCAAGTTTGTGTTCTCAATAACCTCCTGAAATAAAATAATATATTCAATATTTCATGTCCAGTACAACTACTATCAATGATTTGATCAATAAATTACCTGTATTTCTTATTATCTTATCAATTTCTCAGAGAAATATCATCATGAGACATAACCTCACTTCTAGTATTCCTAGTTCTTCTTCTTCTTTCTTTTGGCTTTGTTGACACGTTATTTCATGGAATGTCATCTGGAGACATCCGTAGGCACGAAATCCGCTGCAGCCTCAGGCTGTCACTGAAAGAACTTTTCTAGGACAATTACGGCGCTAAATCTACGCCTGATGTTAGGTTTTAGAAAATATAACGTCCTCTCTAGGCGTTTGGCGACACATTGAGGATGACCCTAGGCGATTGTGTGCTATCTGGGATGCCCCACCCTGTATATCGAAGACTGAAATCTTTGACACGATAATACTCTTAACACTGTTATACCACTAAACAAACCATTTTTTTGCACCTTGACAAGTGTTTTGCTAACATAGTTAGCAAAAAATCGGTTTGGTTAGTGGTTAAACAGTGTGTAGTGCACATGTATTATGAATTTGTAGAGAATCAACTCATGACATATGGACAAAATATTGAAATCCAGCGAAGTGTTCAACAGGAAACTAATAACAGTTTTTTTCTAAATTTTGCCTTTTCCCCTAATTTTGCTATATGTGTACATTCCACAGTACAAGTTTGTTAGTGGAAAAAGTGTCAGGTGGACCTGAAGTCTAGTCGTTATGATTTAAAATTCGAAAGAGAGTATCTATCAGAACTATGCGAAAAAAAAAGTTTGTCGATCACTCTGTATATATCGTGATAAATTATCATTGTACTCTCACAAATGCGTTTTATATATATTGTATTGTCATTGTCCTTGTTTATATTCTCTTATATTGTATATTGATTCATGATTATGTTATAACAGCATTGTCTATATTATGTGATGTTTCCATACAATGTGTTATTGACACTTAAAGCATATTATACATCAACGAATAATACATCCGCTTGCCATTGAATCACGAATAATGTATATTTCATTGGGTAATACCCTGAAGAATATATTTCATAGCTCAACATGGCGATCTCCTGGAGTTTCATTACGAAAGACCCATGTTTAACCCAGAAAACTAAGATCATCCGAAGCTATATATGTGCATTGCATACATCTTGTTCCTCGTTCGTGTGAAGCTAACATCAAATGTTGCAAATTATAAGAAGTGATCATTTTGAATGAATATTATGAATTGCCCTCAGGTATATGGTCTCCAGGACAAAAACCTGAGCCATCAAGGGGAAGAAATTCTCAAGGGGACGGAGACTACGACAAATCTCAGGATGACATTCCACCAGTATGGACTCCAAAAAGTGCCAACTCCAGTCCAACTTCCGAGAGAAAAGAATTCCGAGCGGTGAATTTCCAATCCCCTGTATTAGCTAGGAAGAATAGAACAAAATCTGAGGTAATTCAATCAACTGTGATCATTGTTCTCTTTTAGTTACGTGGAAAATCAGCTGGGCTGTAGCTTCAACCTAAGTTACATTTTTTCTTGTCTGAATAGATCTGAACATGTCTTTCAGGATATTTAGGAATTTAATTATAGCTCATCTTCACGGGAGATCTGAAGATCCACATCTTCATTCGACAATACCAGAAAAATGTTGGGGAGCAGGTTGTTGCCTCTGACTCTGAAAATGGATCTGTTCCCAAAAAGATGATGAAGAGATTGATGAAATAAACCTCTGGTGTACGCACTTCAAACCCTTCCTGTTTAGCAATTCCTTGATTTTCGTCTACTCCGATAAACATAACATGGCGTGGGTGACTCTCACTGAGTGTAGTCTGGTTGCGTACCAAAATTACCCCTATATAACAACGCAAGTAAATCCTAGGGACTTGCCATGGACGTCTCTAATTTTATACTAGGGCATCCCAAGAATATCCTTTGCGGGACAAAGTACATACTAGAGACATCCCAGGGACATCCACTTTCAGGCAAAAAGGACATCCATGAGATGTTCTTCTGGTACGTCTCTGGGATGTACCAATTACGAAGAAAGGATATCCCTAGGACGTCCCAAGGATATTTCAGGGACATACCTTCGACAAAAGAAAAGAAATTAAAGTCTAGTAGGAATTGAACCCGGGACCTTCAGTACGAAACTGAAACCTGAATAAATACAACTTTGTTAGGATTTCATGTATAATTATCATCTTTCTAGGGTGTTTAAAAATGAGGGGCATTATACGTTTACGATTTCTGTTTGTGACTTATGGTAATTTCTTAAGAAATTCTGAGACTATATTCTTCAATTCCATTACAATTATTTTCCGGAAGAAAAACAAACGTTTTCAAAAAAAGTCAACTCAATATTTTGATGAAATTCAATGACTCTGATGTGAATAGATATAAGATATTCCAGGGACACGAATAGGATAACCTAGAGATGTACCAGGCGGGATGTCCACTAGATAACCACTGCGGGACATCCCCTGGATGCCCCAATCATGTCCTTGTACCGCGGGACAAAAAAGGGACGTACCTAGGACATTCCTGTGTTGTTAGGGACATGTATCAATGTGACAATTGTAACCGAATTGTGACCAATAAAGATAGGGAATACATTTTGCGATTTAGCCGCATCAAGGTCGGTAGACCTAATGTTGATCGTAAGTTCTAGGAATCACGCCATCTAACATTCAATATATAAACCCCACGTCATCGTCTGAAATGCAATTGTTTATATATCAAGAACCAGTCTGACGAAACAATTGGAGAGTGAGCGCACCAGAGATTTATTTCATCAATATGAAGAGCATGGTGGAAATATAGTATGGTGTGTTACGACATATTCGTATACGTTATCAATTCGTTCGAGTCGCCGTGATCATTTTGCGAGTATAGACTAGACTCGCAATGACGTTATGCGCAGAAAAGACGCATTCAAGATACCACACCATATTATATTTCCACCATGAGTAAGAGAAATAATACAAGAAGCCTCACCTAGCTATATAGTGTCATGGACTGAAAAGACCACATCCTTGATTTAATGTAAAAAACCCAAAGATATAATCAACTGATTTATGTAGTTCATCCAGGACCAATCCCTTTGAAGAATTGTGTCCCCAAATCCTTGTTTGGTGTACACAACCATAGATCTAATTACACAAACAACTAAACCCTCCACCTCTCATTGAGATCATAATAATATGAACGTACATAGTCTCGCTAGTATATCAGACGTACCTGTTCCACTGAAAGTTCATCATTATGATCGTGCCTTGTACAACAAGCTTGTAAATGTTCTTCACGTGGCATGGGTTGTATACCTTTGTTTTGCTGTTAGGTTGTCCAAAGATGATTATCTCTTGCGATCTATATAGAGCCTTGTAATCATACGACAGTATTTGTGGAACTGTTCCCGAAGCCTTGCCACAAAGTCAGCAGGCTCAGCAGCTCCGGTTACCGTTGTACAGTCTCGATTCGTTCAGGTTTTGACAGATGCAAATCCAGTCAAAAAACTTGTTATAACTTTCAGTGCAAGTCCGGATCCGTAGTTATTTTTTTGACACGGTCCTTTGATATAATATTCCTCCCGTGTCTGTTCCCTGGAATTTTCTCAAAGTAGTTTTTGTGTTTCGCCAGTATCCAGTTTTTCACAGACGATGGGACTGTGCCCTGACATTACCATCGTGTGTCCTATAAATCTGGATTATATTATGACACTGTCCTAGCGACTTCGCCCGTTTTTCCATAACCTGCTATGCTCTGATGTTCCGGCACCCAGATCAGTTTTACTGTTCTGTTCCGTCATTATTATCAGTTCTCCTCTACGGATCCATATCAGATTAGGATTAGACGTCTACTTCCTGATCTTGTATGGTCTTGAGTGTCGCCTGACTGTCTGACATAATATGGATCTGCTCGTCTCTGATGGCTCTAGAACGTTAGTACCTCTTACACACTCTAACATATACCTATGCTTGAAATTCAGAGGTGCGTGCCCCCAAAGCTTGATGTAACTGAGTATATAGTACACTTCTGTCCCCTCATCGTATTCAGTCTATGGTCTGTCTGTATACCAGATATTTATGGATGGTATGAGGTACTGTTAACCCATTCAGTTCTGCCTGCTATTGATATTCTGAGTGTGTTTTTAATAGAACGGTATCGTCTCTATTCTTCTTCTTATATGTCTTATCCCAATATATCCAGGACGTTTTGATGCTTGAAGGCACCAAGCCTTGCCTTTCCATGTATAGTCTATTCAAAGTCAATTGGAGCATCTCCGGTACCGCGCGGCGTCATCGGGTTTTTAAGGTCCCTTCGAAGTGTGTCGGAGTGTGTTTATGTGCAGCTCGAGGCGCTCCAATTGACTTTGGATGAACATCACCACCAGGTGACGCAGAGGCAATCCCAGTTATGTCTCTATGGCTTCAGTAAGTGTCGGATTTCTCTAATGGCCTCTTTGATACCTAGACAAGCAAGTCACTGTACCTTGCTCAATCCTGCTATAGCTTTTCTTTGTAATGTCCAAGTCCACCACACCAACGAGGCATATCGTATTGGCATAACCCCATGTTGTTAAGTCAGTTTCCCATGTGTGGTCTCAGCCCCCACTTTTTCCCAAATGAACGTTTTGTCACAAACCAGTGACATACCCGCTTTTTTATTATTTCATCCAGGAGTTCATTCATGGTCAGTTTCAGGTAGAATTACTCCAGGACGCATCAGGGTTAGTTAGTTAATTACGTTTCAAAAATGAGCCATGAAGATTCTTATCAGTTTTTATATACGCGAGTGAATATAACCACATTGAAAATCTGTTGCAGAGTTTCGGGTCGGAATGTTCATCTCCAACGCTACCTTCGCCCAATCTCAATTACAGTAGTGATACAGGGACGGCTCCACCAGTTTTGGACAGAAGGCTGCCCATCAGCCGATCTACTCCTGCATCAGGTTTCGTCGATCTGTCGATATCTCCCCGTCTTCCGAAAGCCCAGAATCCCACTATAACGCTTCTTCAAAAAGCAAGAGGTAAGAATTCGATTCTTTCATGTACAGGGAGGGTTGTCCGTTGAGATGGCCCACCCCTATATTTGAGTTATTGTTTCATCGAGAAGAAAACAATATGCTGAAGTTGAATACCGCAATGAGGACTTTCCACAGCCCTTATCAGAAGTTGAACTCTAGCTCCTAGGAACTGAAAAGGATGTACTAGGTCATCGAGAATAAACAAACATTGTTATTGTTGGTTATTTGGGTTGGGACGCATACCTGATTTGTTTCAGATTTCGGCAGATTTGGCATTTCATACCCATGCTGGAGATATAAATACACCATATTATGATAGTTAAGTATTCTTGTTTCGATCAGGAAAGCCTTCAAGATTCACATACTTGCTTGATTTGTATTTCATTCATTATTCTCGGGATCTGATTGATTGGACAACTTGTTTGTTGTATAATCGCTATTATCATTGTCGATATGCCCACTAACCTAACATTTTCCACGTCGTTTTCCTATACATGGCAATGGCGCCGCATTTGCTATTAGTGCTGACACCTGGTCCAAATGAATTCATCGATTCAATAAAATACACAAATGGGTCACTCTGTGGTTGTATTTATATCGAAACTAAAATTCGAACATCCTCGAAAATTGAATAAACCTGATTTGTAATTCGAATTATTCGTTGCATTGCATACATATGGCATGGCATCCACGTTTCGGGTATAGTATCAAATTGTACCTACTGACCTGTAGTATCTGATGACAATGACATGATTCATGTCAACACAAATTGTAATAAAGTAAAGTAGTCTGAGGTCTTGCTTCTATCTATTTACTCTCTTACTCATATCATTATAATAAAGGTATTATAACAATCTGTCAAGTATATCACATTCACATATTTATTTCAGTTACCTATTTCGGTTGCAGAAAAAATAGCATGTTTCATTCGCTTTGGCTCGCAAATGCAAAATTCACTTGTCGAGCAAAGTGTCACTTTTGATCCTAATAAAACAATCTACTATTTCTGATTACACGTGAGATCAATTGCTAAAAGTGCATCCCAAAAACTTGGTTTTCTGTTTCGGGCCAGGAGCTTTATTTGGATTCTGTCCAAAAAAGGGCAATTTGTCTACTGTTTCCATATTTGAAGTGCAGCACCCAAACATACCCTGAAACTGTTGAATTCTGTCCAAACAAGGGCAATCGTTCTCTTGGGTGATGCCTCGCTCACAAACTCACTCACTTCTCTGGAACACCGTTGAAAAGTTGGCGATCTGGCTCTATTTTATAGATATTTCCATGGACGCTGCTCTTCTGGAATATCAATAATTGTTCCTCCCTTGGCAGTCCCTGCGAGATTGACCCGTCGAGTTGAGGCTTCGCACCCCTTCGTGGTCACTTAGGAGACCTGCATAACATCTCTTTCCAAAGACTCGTTCATCCAACGAACAGCGAGGCTCTGGAACACATTGCCAAGGGAGGTGTTCCTCGAGGCATATAACCTCCAGAAATTAAAGAAGAACACCAATTCCTACCTAATTTCCCTTGGTTCTCACGATGTTCTCTGAACATTACAGGATATCCCTTTTCGTGGGAACCAGAACATAAAAAACAACACTGAAACGATTTTGTGGTTCGTCACACTTTGGGGATCACCCTGGAAATCTTCTGAAATAGCCTCATCGCGACATTCAACTTCCGCATATTGTTTTTTTTTTCTTCAGTTAAGAATATCATGAGGGGTTGGCCTCTATGATGTATAACCCTGTCCTGTAAAAGAAAAGTTCTATGCATATATAGTCCTACAATATTATGTCGTTATCCAATTTTCATGTTGATGCATATTAGTTGTTATCAGTTGCTATATCATTTTGTAACTCCCTATACTCTATCAATATCCTTTTATATACAAAATTACTTCGATTTTCTTCTCTCTTCATAGTATAATAATAATAATAATGATAATTTATTCATCCTTCAGATTACAAAGTAATATTGGACAGGTCAAATAAATCAACGTTGATACATAATAATATAACAAAAAAAACAGATAAAAGAGTATAATATACATTTCACACCGAACAGGTAGCGACACAGTTATTTGCATTGAAAAACTCAGAGGTATTGTAAAAACAACCCTGAATGAGAAAATTTTTGAGATCATTCTTGAACTTGTTGAGATTTTCATTCATAGTTATACACATGGGCAGATGATTGAAGAACTTTATCCCCATATAGAAAGGGCTCTTTTCATATAGGCTTGTGCGGTGTCTAGGTATACGCAAGAGATTTCTATTGCGTGTAAAATGATCATTATTATATGAATTTTTTTGAAACTTGTGTAGGTTTCTTCTCGTATACATTACACAGTGATAAAAATATAGATCGAGTAAAAAGTGAGCAAGTTATGCTTTCGAAATATAGGTCGACAGCTTTCCCTGTAATCAAGATTGAAAATTAGTATTATAATTCTTTTTTGAGAAATCAGAATTCTACTAGAGTTAGTTGCATTACCCCATGATATTACATTGTTGCTCATATGCGAATAAACTAATGCATAGTACACATTAAGCAACTGGTATGTAGTGAAAACATATTTCAGTTGGAGAATAGCATAACACCCACTATTGATCCTTTTGCTCACATGATCTATATGTGTTGTCCAACTCATATCACAGTCGACAAACGTTCCTAAAAATGTTGTGGATTTCGATAGTTCAATAGGGGTATCATTTACCATTACTCTGAATGGATAATTGAATTTGAGTCTTGAGGAGAACTGCATACAAACAGTCTTATTCGCATTAACGATAAGACGATTTTTTGAGCATCTGTTAGTGAAGTTCCCTGAGACTATGTTGAGTTTACTTTGGAGTTCTTCCGGAGTATCAGTGCTGACCGCAATAGTAGTATCATTTGCATACAGTATGACACAATCAGAATCTAAGTGATATGGTAAATCATTTATGGAGAGCAGAAAGATAAGTGGCCCTAAAATAGATCCTTGAGGAACTCCTAAATCTATGTCATGTGAATGAGAATAATTATTATCAATTTTGACAAGAATTTTCCGGTTCTTCAAAAATGATACAATCCATGAAAGAAAAGTTCCTCTGAAACCCAGGATGTATAGTTTGCTTTCCAACAAAGAAAAATCAACCGAATCGAACGCCCTAGAAAGATCGAAGAAAAGTACACCAACCTACTTTCAATTTTCTAGTTTCGTGTTCACATATTCGAAAAGGTCATAAGCTGCACTTTCCGTCGATCCGTCTATCTTTCATATGAAGTTGTTATAAGTTGAACTTAACTCAATTATTTGGAGAAGTTTATAAGTCATTTTTCCATTTGTTCATTATATTTTTTTGTGGAAGATGCGTTCCCCCCACCATACCAATGAAGCTAGCAAAGCCACTTTCGAATTTCAACATGAGACACATCTCATAATTTTAGGCTCATTTTAGGCTAATTTATTACCTCATTCCCGAATTTTTTGCTCCTCCCTATCATAGAAAAATCTGTGGCTTTGCTAGCTTCGGCCGAACTCAGCAAAGCCATTTTTGAAAAACAATATTTTTTGAATATCCGATATAGTGAGAATGTCTCGGAGAATGTAGTGCTCATTTTAGGCTAATTTATTACCCGATTCCCAATTTTCTTGCTCCTCTCTATCATAAAAAAATCTGTGGCTTTGCTAGCTTCGGCCGAACTCAGCAGAGCCATTTTTGATAACATAGGTTTTTCACCGATTTGATTTATTGAGATTGAAGGGCTAATTTTAGGCTAATTAATTACCCTATTTTCGTATTTTTTGCTCAACGTTTCAAACAGAAAAAATACAAGACAATTTGTCGAAATATGCGTCATTCACTTCACATTATGTAATTCTATCAAACGCATATTTTATGACGATTTCATGAGGCGAAGTGTTCGTATTGATTGTAAGCTTGATAACTATCACATTTTGGATTTTTTTGCTACATATTTTTTAAAAATAACCTGTGGCTTTGCTGGCTTCGGGCGAACTCAGCAGAGCCATTTTTTAAAAGTTTAAAAGTGTTTTTAACCGCCAGCTTAGTTGCAAAGCAACCCTCGAAAGTCAGAGACTTGTGTGAGTTAAGAAGACGGGGACCTTAGCTTTTTAAGTGTCATCCGAAGCACTACACTTTAAAATAATATATTTTTCGCTGATTTGATATATCAATATTGAAGAGCTAATTATAAGCTAATTAATTACCCTATTTTCGAATTTTTCGCTCGATGTTTCAAACTAAAAAAAAAAATCGAAACGATTCATCGAAATACGCGTTTATTCACTATACATCATGCATATTTATCAAAAGCAAATTTTATGACGATTTTTGAAGAAAAGTGTTAGTATTGATTATGAGCTCAATATCTATTACATTTTGAAATTTTTCGCTGCATATTTTTTAAAATAAACCTGTGGCTTTGCTGGCTTCAGGCGAACTCAGCAGAGCCATTTTTGAAAATATTATATTTTTCACCAATTTGATATATCGGTATTGAAAGGCTAATTTTAGGCTAATTAATTACCCTATTTTCGAATTTTTTGCTCGATGTTTCAAACTAAAAAAACCCGAAACGATTCGTCGAAATACGCGTTTATTCACTATAGGTAGGTACATCATGCATATTTATCAAAAGCATATTTTATGACGATTTTTCAAGACAAAGTGTTGGTATTGATTATAAGCTCAATAACTATTGCATTTTGGAATTTTTTGATGCATATTTTTCAAAACAAACCTGTGGCTTTGCTGGCTCCGGGCGAACTCAGCAGAGCCATTTTTGAAAAAATTATATTTTTCATCGATTTGATATATCGGTATAAAAAGACTAATTTTAGGTTATTGATTACCCTATTTTAGAATTTTTTGCTCAACGTTTCAAACAGAAAAAATACAAGACAATTTGTCGAAATACGCGTCATTCACTGTACATTATGTATTTCTATCAAAAGCATATTTTATGACGATTTATGAAGACAAAGTGTTAGTATTGATTATGAGCTCAATATCTTATTACATTTTGGAATTTTTCGCTGCATATTTTTTAAAATAAACCTGTGGCTTTGCTGGCTTCGGGCGAACTCAGCAGAGCCATTTTCAAAAATATTATATTTTTCACCAATTTGATATATCGGTATTGAAAGGCTAATTTAACGCTAATTAATTACCCTATTTTCGAATTTTTTGCTCGATGTTTCTAACTAAAAAAAAACCGAAACGATTCGTCGAAATACGCGTTTATTCACTATACATCATGCATATTTATCAAAAGCATATTGTATGACGATTTTTCAAGACAAAGTGTTGGTATTGATTATAAGCTCAATAACTATTGCATTTTGGAATTTTTTGCTGCATATTTTCTTAAGCAAACCTGTGGCTTTGCTGGCTTCGGGCGAACTCAGCAGAGCCCATTTTTGAAAATATCATATTTTTCACCGATTTGATGTAAGGCTACTTTTAGGCTAATTAATTACCCTATTTTCGAATTTTTTGCTCAACGTTTCAAACAGAAAAAATACAAGAAATACTATTCACTGTACATTATGTATTTCTATCGAAAGCATATTTTATGACGATTTTTCAAGACAAATTGTTGGAAATGATTATAAGCTCAATGACTATTGCATTTTGATTTTTTTTTCTGCATACTTTTCAAAAGATCGTCATAAAATATGCTTTTGATAAATATGCATGATGTATAGTGAATAAACGCGTATTTCGACGAATCGTTTCGGTTTTTTTTTAGTTTGAAACATCGAGCGAAAAATTCGAAAATAGGGTAATTAATTAGCCCAAAATTAGCTCCTCAATATGGATATATCAAATCAGTGAAAAATATATTATTTTAAAAAATGACTCTGCTGAGTTCGCCCGAAGCCAGCAAAGCCACAGGTTTCTTTCAAAAAATATGTAGCAAAAAATTCCAAAATGTGATAGTTATCAAGCTTACAATCAATACGAACACTTTGCCTCATGAAATCGTCATAAAATATGCTTTTGATAGAAAAACATAATGTAAAGTGAATGACGCATATTTCGACAAATTGTCTTGTATTTTTTCTGTTTGAAACGTTGAGTAAAAAATTCGAAAATAGGGTAATCAATTAGCCTAAAATTAGCCATTTGATCTCAATATATCAAATCGGTGATAAATCTATGTTTTCAAAAATGGCTCTGCTGAGTTCGGCCGAACCTAGCAAAGCCACAGATTTTTCAATAATAGAGAGGAGCAATAAAATTGGGAATAGGGTAATAAATTAGCCTAAAAAAAGCAGTACAATATCACTATACCAGATATTCGAAAAATATTGTTTTTCAAAAATGGCTTTGCTGAGTTCGGCCGAAGCTAGCAAAGCCACAGATTTTTCAATGATGGGGAAGAGCAAAAAATTCGGAAATGGGGTAATAAATTAGCCTAAAATGAGCCCAAAATTATGAGATGTGTCTCACGTTGAAATTCGAAAGTGGCTTTGCTAGCTTCTTTGGTATCCCCCCACCCCTAATTGAGGATATACCAAAACTTCAAAGTTTGCTTCAAAATTCACTCAACGTGCAAGTTCACTCCACTTATTTATAGTTTATCATAATTCAAATTTGAGTTCATGAAATAATAGACCATCTTCATCTCTACATCAACTCCTGGTAAAGTATTATAATCCGCTTCCTGGCCACGGCTGACTAGTGACGTACAATTCAAAATAATATTCAATTTTCATGGGCCTACTAGGAAGCTGCTATTTATTATTTCAAGTCAATCAATTCGCAGATCGATTATGTTGGTGCCTCTCTCTAAGTTTGACGTTGATAAAATAAACTCATCTGCAAAAAAATCTGCCAGGAGAAAAAATTGCCAAATTGATCGTCTTTTTCGATTTTGGTGAAATTTCAGCCAAATTGTAGATTTCTGTTCCGAAATATTAACCCGCATTTTATTTCCTCAAAAAAGCTGATAGCTTGATCATTATACAGGAAAATACAGAAGCTACTATTTCACACAATAGTGTTCAATTCACATTAATATCTTCTTTTGAAGAGAACATACAATACATGTTTTAAGAAAGTTGTGTCATTTATTTCCACTCCGTTATTTAAGCACAAAAACAAACGAAAAGCATAGATGTAGTCAAAAACGAGTATGCCCTCTTCGATTTTTGCTGGAAAACACATTTTACACAACTGATGAGGCCATTTGACTCTTACAGTGATGAGTTACACACCAATGCATTTTCAGTTCCCGATACCTTTCAGTGATGTGCCAATCGCGATATCCATAATGGGTAATATTTAAAAATGTTGGGGATGATTTATCGACCAGACTGCATTTTGTCATAATGAAAGCTATACAGGGTGAACAAAAATAATTTGAATGGTCCTAACCTATTCTGTATTCCGGACATGGAGCATTATCTGATCTGATTTTTGTTCTGTGCAGCTGCATTATCAACAGTAATATCACGATGTTCTTTGATTCTGTCGCTGCATCGTTCACGAAAAGTCCGTCAAGACGAGTGGTATATAGCGACTGACAGAACTATGAGAAGATATTCCGAGCAGAGTGGTATTTTGCTAGACTATTTCACGTTAACGAAGCATAAAAAGCATTCATCATTAACAAGCAATTCAATATGACAGCTAGAGCTATAATTATATTATGACAAACTGACAGACTGCTCCGCTATCCATGGTTACATCGTAGGAAACACCAACGCTGATTGACCAATCGGAATTGAAAGACAGCTATAGTTCTTTCGCAATAAAACAAGTTGTCTCTGGCTTGTGATTGGTCAGAGTATGTGATCAGTAAAATAGTCAACAGTCACGAAGCATTAGAATAAGCAATTATTATAAATAGACAAGCAATATAAACAATAATGCGATTTCTTCTGACATTCACAGCTTCAATTATTCAATGTCAAACCGACAGACTTTTCTTTCAGTCAAAGCATAGCTGATACACCAATCAGAATGGAAATACACTGTTTCCGCGATAATACATTGTCTTTGGCAAGCGCATGTCAGATAATGTGAGAATTTCAAGATGAGTGAAATAGTCCAATATATCATTGCCCCATAAGTGCTTATTTATTATTTTCCAGAATCGAAATTTTACATTTTATTTGATTTTTGTAGAAGGACAACTTCCCAAAGGTGCTTCCTATATTGAACAGGAGGAAAAACAGCTGAGACCCAGGAACGATAGGCCTCCAATCGCGAATCCTGGAGAAGTGTGTAAGTAGCAGACACAACTATACCGGGTGTCAACGAATCTATCAGACAAGTCATAACTTCTAGACCATAAGGTGTATCAAAATGAGATTTGGTATAGGTAAATGGTATGTGAAGAGGAGAGTTTTCACATATTTTTCACTTTCCGGTCACTTCCGGTTTCACCAGAAATTGCTCCGGTTCTAAATTTTTAAATAGAACACCCTGTATATTGTAACATTTTTGGATTTCTGGGACAATTCTAGATCAGAATGTGACATCATCGAATGTTTTTATGCCTATTCAATTTTTTCGGAGTTTATTTTTGAAATTACATCCAGGTGGCCATGATCGGAAGTAAACTAATCTAACGACCTCAGGTGATACCAGAGAATTACATTACATTACATACAAAGTAAATAAATAATTATGAAGTATTTTCGTCAGTAATATTTGATTTATGTTCTTATTTGTAATCCAATCGCAAATAAATTAGTATCGTTAGATTCGTCAAAATATCCTTTTTTCGGAAAGTGCTTGTCAAAAAATGGTCGCCATTTGAAAAATAATAGTTAGACAAGAAAATGTAAATTTGCCAACTTGTCTCATTCGTATCCATCATACTAGTCACTAAAACTTCGCGATTGTAATTTTCTGATATAACCTGAGGTCCTTAGATTAGTTTACTTCCGATCATGGCCACCTAGATGTAATTTCAAAAGTGACTCCGAAAAAATTTAGTAGGCATAAAAACTTTCGAAAATGTCACATTCTGATCTAGAATTGTCCCATAAATCCAAAAATGGTTCAATATACAGGATGTTCCATTTAAAAATTTGGAACCGGAGCCATTTCCGGTGAAACTGGAAGTGACCGGGAAGTGAATAATATGTGTAAACTCTACTATTCACCTATACCGAATCTCATTTTGATACACCTAATGGTCTAGAAGTTATGACTTGTCTAATAGATTCGTTGGCACCCGGTATAAGATGCGTGCATGATAAGCTGAAGGTCCCAAGTTGGAATCCCTACTCCTTCTACTCTCTTTTTTATTTTTTCGAATGGATGTCTTTGGAATACCCTCGGGACGTCCTAGAGATATTGTTTGCTTGTACTTGGTACATCCCAGGGACGTATCAGAAGGATATTCCGAGGATGCCTCTTTTTGTGGAAAGTGGATGTCCCTGGGACGTCCCTAGGATGTACCATGTCCCGACATAGGATATGGAACGTTCAACGGATATACTGGTGCGTTGTTAGTGTTACCTCATACGCTAATTGTCCAGGGTTCGAACTACTATTTTTTCATATTATTTGAAAGTGATTTACTCTCAATGATATTTTTTTCTGCGCCATATTAGCAATGTGTATTTTGATTCGTCACTCATACTACGACTACATTGCTCCTACTCCCTAGAGCTTTGGGTTAATATATACAGGGTATATGTCACGATGAGCTTACACTATCTTTATATCGAGAATCAGTAGGGAAAAATCCATGAAAATGTGCATGCTTATATTTTAAAATACGCTCTCTTTATTTGAAATATTTTCGCCAAGGTAGTGTTGCCGTTTCTACTAGAAAGAAGTACCAACATTGATATTTCAAATAAATCACCCTGTATTTTATCGCATTTTTAGATTCTCCCTGAAAAGCTGATTTCATCGATACATCACACTCGAAAAAGATCATTCGTATCAGTGATATGGGAATTATATCTCTCACAAACAGTTTATATGACTCAACTCGAGTAAAACTCATTTCGGATTCCATATTGATTGATTGATTGATTGATTGATTGATTGATTGATTGATTGTCTTTATTACCCCAAGAAACATTTCTGTTTATGATAGGGATACATAAATACATATAAAAAAAATAATAATAAAGGGTTAACTATAATGAATTCCACTCAGTGGAAACGAATTAATATTGTGTCTTATAAGATTAAAGTTATATTTCATTCCTAAGTAATCAAATCATGCCACATATTTTTCTTTCAAATTGAACTCCAGTTATTCTTTCAGCCATTCTTCATGATATGCACAATCTTCATCTCTCTATAATATAACTAAAACTGTAACGAACTGACATCTGAGAATTATTATGATTTGTTGACATATACATATACATTATGATAATAAGATTAATAGGTTGAAAATATAAACAAATAGGGTTTTGATTCATTTTTCTGATGAAATAATACAACTGCAGGGTATATAATGAGCTGGAGTGATAACGGCTTTTTTGTGTTTTTTGAGAAAATGTAAAAAAAGTTATAGTTGGAGTCTTCTTCAAACCTTTAAATACCTGGTGATATTGCTCTACAGTATATATGTACATAATTCGCGATTCGCAAGAATGTAAATTTCGGCGTTTTTTTTATCACTTCATATTTACTTGCTATCATCTCTCCCATAACTATCTAGATTTGAACAACATCATAATCTATAGATAAAAGTTTATCATTTATTACTTAGATATCTATGCTTAGATATACCTACCTCACTACATAATCATACCATTGAATAAAAATATGAAAGGAAGAATCATTATCATGCATCTTTTAACATTCAATATGAGCAAGTTGAATAACGTGAAATATTTCTATTGGACAAATTGTTTGAAAAATGTATTATGTCATGATATACTGTAGAAAATACAGGGTGAACAAAAAATGTTGATAGCTACCTTTGTGTTAAAAATTCTATGGGGATGATATGGTACGTGTTTTGACTAAAAAAAATCTTGGAACATGGTAATACAGTATGTGTTGGGAAACATGAAAAAGCATTCAATTTTATGGAAAAATAGGGAACTTATTACAAAACATAATAGTAAGGACCATTTTCGAAAAAAAACGAGAAAGCCTGATTGATTGTCTTGGTTTAGGTTACTTGATGTGATTATTTTGTCATTGCGTCTTTAATAAATTGATATGAAAACATAGTGCTTCTACAAAAAAATTTCCATGGTGTGGTGGTGAAATATGAAGTACTTTTCAAGGTTCCCTTTTTTCAAAACTTTCTCAAGAATAGATTTATTATTCAGTTTCATTCATTATATAGGGACTTTCTTTATTAACAAAACAGACCAATCTTCATTTCCAGTCAGCTCTCTTCTCTAACTATGTTTTTTCAACTTTCGGCGAATTTAAAAAAAACGTATTACTATTCAGCTCATAAGTTACCCAGGAATTGTTTCCATTCGGAAAATGAAGGAAATAGCAAAGCTGCCAAAAAATCAAAGCCTAGTCACCAAAGGACACGATTTCAGTTCTGCTAAAATAATATAGTGAATCAGGTCTATACATAGAATAGAATGAGGAAAAAATACCTAATTCAAGTTATATTGGATGATATTATGTTGGATGAACGAGTCTTTGGAAAGAGATGTTCTGCAGGTCTCCAATGTGACCATGAAGGGGTGCGAAGCCTCAACTCGACGGGTTAATCTCGCGGGGACTGCCAAGGGAGGTACAATTGTTGATATTTCATGAAGAGCATCGTCCATGGAAATATCTATAAAATAGAGCCAGATCGCCAACTTTTCTACGGTGTTCCAGAGAAGTGAGTGAGTTTGTGAGCGAGTCATCACCCACGAGACGAATTGCCCTTTTTCTGGACAGAATTCAACAGTTTCAGGGTATGTTTGGGTGGTGCATTCCAAATATGGAAACAGTAATCCAGAACAGGTGCCTTATAGATCATAAGCAGCTGACTGGAAGTGAAATAGCTCCTGGCCCCAAACATGAAACTAAGTTTTTGGGACGCACTTTTAGCAATTGATCTCACGTGGTTTTCCCAAGAAAGGTTATTGCTGATAGTAATACCAAGCATCGAAATGGATGTCTTCAAAGGTATGATTACTCCTGACATGCTTATGTTTGGCACAGTGGGATCGGCTTTTCTAGAGGAAAAGTATGCTCATGTTTTGTTTGCATTGAAATCTACCAAGTTATTGGATTCCCATTCGAGAATTGTTGCTGAGTCCATATTTATGTTGTCAACATTTCTCCCTCGTTCGTTTCTGATTTTCCTGGCTGGTATTGAAGCACTGGAGGAGAAGGCGGTATGGAGGGTACTATCATCCGCGAAGCTGTGTACTTGACATGAAGTTCCTTCCAACAAATGGTTGATATGGAGTAGAAATAGTGTTGGTGCTAGAATTGATCCTTGCGGAACACCAGCATTTATGGTGAGAAAGTCAGAGGAAACTCCGCCGACCACTACATGGGGAGACCTGTTTGAGAAAAAAATTAGCTAGCAGAGAACATAGTTGGGGAGGCAAGCCGTGAGATGGAATGTTGGCGAGGAGTCCGTGATGCCAGACTCGATCGAATGCTTTGGAGATACCAAGTGCCACGGCTAAGGTTTTACCATATTTTTCAATAGATTGCTATGTGAGACGTAAGCGAGCAGGTCACCAGTTGATCTCTGATGACGGAAGCCATATTGCCTATTGTTGATAATACCTGAATGTTCCAGGTATTTCATTAGCTCGATTTTCATAGCTTTCTCCATGATCTTTGAAATAATAGATAGCAGTGCGATCGTCTGTAGTTGCTGGGTAGGGTCTTTTTGCCTTCTTTAGGAACTGGTTGTACTCTTGCGATTTTCCAGTTGGACGGGAATATCCCCAATTTGTAAGAGTTCTTTAACAACTTGCAGAGAACAGGGTTTAGTTCAGAGGCATTTCTTGAAAACAATTGGTGGGATTCCGTCGGAGCCACAAGCTTTGTTGGTGTTGAGACCCAATAAAATCTTCCTTATAGTACGTTGGCGAAAGGTGATCTCGGACATATATCCAGAGTAGAATTTCCAGCAAATAAATGCGCAAAAATGTTGGCTTCCTCCTGGGCAGTTGTGGCTAGTATTTCATCTTCCTTGGTTAGAGGAGGAAACGAGCTGGAAGTGAAGTTTCTTCCTTCAGTTTTGGCGAAGGACCAAAATGAACGGGATTCGTTTGAACATTCAACAAGTTTTGATCTTATTTTGGCATTATGAGCATGCTGTTATATTCAATACTCAAAAGGACCAATGTTAATTATATCTTGAATGTATTGTATTTCCGTTGAAATTGAAAACTTTTCCTTCTCGTTCAACTATTATTCATTATTTCCTCTTTTTTCTTTTTTCCAATTGTCTTCATAACATACTTATCTATTTCGAATAAACAGGAACAGTCATTTCTCAGAAAATTTACATATTTTATTGATGTATTGTGACACCTGGAAATGTTGTAGAATATAATAAATCGAAACTGTAACATTTTTGAACATTTTCTTGTGAATCAATCACACCAGACGAATATTCGTCACATTTCACCTCCATCCCCTTCAACAAAAAATATTAAATGAATAAATCACCTTCCTCATATATTTTTATTCAATGGATCACACTCATCTTTCTATCTCATCTGTTTGAATAGATCAAGGGCATAATCTTAATTTTTTACAGTATACCACATAAAGAACGAATATACGAGCGAATCTGAAACCGAAAAACCGCGAAAAATGGCCGATTTGTCTGCGAGAAAATTCGAAGGAATCGGGCCAGTGACCAAGGATGGACTACCTTTGATTCTCAGATCTGTGAGTAAAAATACATATGTTTTTCTTCCCATTCAATGATAATTGATTCGTTAATTCATCAGGAAGTGAAAGACCAAAATCAGTCCAAATGGTACAAAAGGATGTATGACACAATTCACAAGCAAAAACCGCATAGTGGTGAGTAAACCTATTTCTGTAGGATATCAATATGAACATAATAGCTATATTCATACAGGGTGTCACGTTATAAAGTGACCGTCCATCACTGATACTCTTTTATTTCATATGTTTCATGTGATATTAAGTTCGTAAACCATATTTATTCTGCTTCTATTTGTGCATGAAATGTAATCAACAACTATCATTTCACTTCTCATTTTTCGATGAGAATTTTCCAAGTTGTAATTTATGTCTTTTTAAATTTCAGACGAATATGTTACAGTGCGGTATAAACAGAAAAGAGGTATTACCAACTACCAATATGCTAACCATAATGGATGCTTATAGCTTCTGCTAATATAAATTCTGCTTTTAATTACCCTCTAATATAAGGCTTGCAAAATAGACAAATTCTTATCAAGGTCGGATGTTCGGGGTTCAACGAGAACGATAGGTATATTTTAAAATCCAAATCAAATTGTTTTCTTTCATTATATACAGTGCCCGTCTAAAGTCCGTTCCCCCAACTAATTTTTGAAGCACCTGGTATATCGCAACTTAATTTGGAGGGCTTCAATAAGAGATAAAAACCAACTTATTCATGGAAAAATCACCATCTTCAATATTTTCATTTTCGAAATTTGCTCATAATTCTTCTAGTTTTCTTATTCACACTTTACTCCTAAATTCAGATGTTTTCGAAATAATAAAGTTTGAAAGGTGACATTCCGGTGTGAAATGAAGTATGAATTTTGGTCCCTTTTTTTGAAACTACACGTTGGTATTAATTTGTAGTTGCATCTCTTTATTATTTCGACTGAAAAGAAGCTTAAAGAAAGTTCATTAAGGGCATAGATCTAAATGTGTATTTAGATCTATGTTAAGGATAAACATCAGCACCGCTCATCGGAATATTTTGAAGTGTTCAAAGTGGCCCCCTCCTAAATCTTGGCAATGAAGCACCCTATTATAAATTGCTTCTTTCAAGTTGATGAAAGTCTGTTCATCTGTTTCTTCAGATATATCTATTATTCTGCGTTCCAACTCTTCTATTGTTTGGCATTTATTGGCGTAGATTCTTGACTTCAGATACCCCCAAAGAATAAAATCTAGAGGTGTAAGATCTGGAGATCTTGATGGCCACTTTGTACTTCCCCTGCGACCTATCCATCGCCCAGGAAAGTTAGTATCGAGGAAGTCTCTAGCCCTGCGATCGAAATGGGGAGGTGCTCCATCCTGCTGAAATATGATTCCACGATTTTCAAACTCTTCCTGATTGTTCAATACAATTTGCCTTATTCGAGGTTCAATTTCAGTTTCTAAAAGAGTTTTGTAAAGAACTTCTGTAAGATTGCCTCTGATGAAAATCGGTCCAACAACGCGATTGCGTAAAATCATCGCTCAAACATTCACCTTTTCAGGAAACTGAGTATGTCCCTCTCTGAAAATATGCGGATTAGTATCGCTCCAGTATCGTACATTCTGTTTGTTGACTTTTCCATCAGGAAAAAACGTGTATCGATCCGTCTCTGGAACATACACGTATTAGGAAGTCCCGTTCTCCTTCAATAATTGTTCTTGTTAACCTTTCACAAAATTCAACCCTCCGGTCTGGATCATCCTCCGTGAGAGCGTGCAGGATTTTCATTTTATAGGGATGAAACTTTCCTTTTTTAGGATTCTTTGGACACTTTTTGAACTCACTCCACAGGATTCAGCAACTGCAGACGTCGACTGAGTCGGATTGATTACCATTTCAGCAACAATTTCTACCTTTATTTTTTCTTCTGAAAGAGGCGGTCTTCCTGATCTTGGAGCATCTTCCAGCGTACCAGCTGCTTGGAGCTTATTTAAAAGTTTGCGCAAATACGACCTCGAAATGGGATTCTCGGGAAATCTATCATTAAACATACGGACTGCTATAGATGATAATTTCTTCCAGCTCCTCCAAATATCAAAACTGCTTCAAATTTATCGTCTAAACTACGAGTCATGATCACACTTTTCATAAAATGTTTGAGGCGGTCAACGGAATATTTGACAGTTACATTGAATTTGACAGTAAACGCAAACTTGATTGAAAACAACGTTAGTGTTTTGGTTTTGTTTGAGATGAACAAAATGTCACCTTTCGAACGTTAATATTTCGAACACAATTGAATTTAGGAGTAGAGTGTATTGAAGAAAACTGTTGATAATTATGAGCAAATTTTAAAAATGGAATAATATACGGGGTGTTCCATTAGAAAAATATATTGAAGATGGCGCTCAGCCGCCATTATGAAACTTTTGGCTTCAATTTTTCCATGAATAATCAGATTCTTGTGTCCTATTGAAGCCCTTCAAATTTCGTTGCGATATACCAGGTTGTTCAAAAATTAGTAGGAAGGAACGGACGGGCACTGTATATTGTTGTGCTGATGAAAAGCCCATTTCTGGTATATGAGAAGGGTCAAAATGTAGACTTTAACCACTGAACAGAAACAGAGACCTTCAACTTACCTAGCTAGAAATTCATTTTCCAATTCGAAAACGTTTGACTTTGGAACGAAAATATTTTCAGACTATGGCGCGTTTTCGGTTACCTATACAGTGTATCCATTTAGTGCGTAATTCTTCGATATTTCGAAAGCCATCACCTATAGAGCAAAACTCTGCAAGACAAAGTTTTTCAGTCACTGAAGTTGCTTATTTTAAAATTATTCTCAACATTACTGGGTGTTTTATAAAAGCAGGGCAACTCGAAGAAGAGTTTTTTTTAAATGGAACACCCAGTATTGTTCATTCGGAATTAATTTCGCCGAGGTTCACCTCCACATCGCTGTAAAAATAATTGAAATCGGTTGCGGCGTTGCCAAGTTATAATTGATAAATCTATTTTTACCATTATTATTTTATTTTATTTATTTTATTTCATTTTATTTGTATGTAATCTTACAGAAATAAATCCAATAATCGATTAAAATTATTTCCTTAAGACTAATCAGATTTCAGTGAGCAGAGAAACGTTATCTATATACAGTGTGTCCCTAGACCAGTGGGACAGTTGAATATCTCCTGAACCAATAGGAATTTTCAAAATATTATGATTCCACATCATATCGCATTATGAGTGCTAAATTCAGGAATGACTATATTTTATACGAGGGGCGCAAGAAAGGCTCACAAAATCGAACATAAATTTTTTCAAATGGAACACCCTGTATTTCATTGCATTTTTATATTCTCCTTGATGAGCTGAGTACAACGACCTAGCACACTTGGGGTCTAGCGGGAATGATTTCCGAGATATAGGGTGTGGAAAATCGAGATTTTTCATTTTTGGGGAATTTTTTGTGTCAAAACTATTCATTACCTTTTGATTTACTATTTACTCGTATTTCATTGAAACAAATACAGGGTGGTGTAGAATTCTGACTGAATCTAAAAATTCTACACCACCCTGTATTTGTTTCAATTAAATACGAGTGAATAGTAAATCAAAAGTTGAGATCTGGACATGTATTCTGTTCTGACCAATAATGAATAGTTTCGACACAAAAAATTCCCAGAAATGAAGAATCTCGATTTTCCACACCCTATATCTCGGAAATCATTCCCGCTAAACCCCAAGTGTGCTAGGTCGTTGAACTCAACTCATCAAGGAGAATATGAAAATGCAATGAAATACAGGGTGTTCCATTTGAAAAAATTGATGTTCGATTTTGTGAGCCTTTCTTGCGCTCCTCGTATAAAATATAGTCATTCCTGAAGTTAGCACTCATAATGCGATAAGATTTAGAATCATAATATTTCGAAAATTCCTATTGGTTCAGGAGATATTCAACTGTCCCACTGGTCTAGGGACACCCTGTATAGTGGTATATTATTGAAGAGTCATGTTGAATTGGGCATGGTATATTCATTTATTCAAATTTTGAAAATATTTTTGGCATACGGTAGAAGCAAGGTCCAACGTATACCAATCCAGTAATTTCTCGACATGTTCTTATACAGGGTGCTCAATTTTGCATTGAGAATTTTGCAAGTTTCAGATGACATTCATCAGAATATTTCAAATGAAACACCCTGTATTTTTATCCAAAAATTCATTCCGACATCTTTCGCCTTTTTATCTCTGAAAAAAAAATCGGAATCGATTGCGGCGTTGTCAAGTTATGGTTAATTTCCTTATTTTTACTACTATTTCGGGGTAATTTGTAAGTCATAGTTCTCTCATTAATTTGTATTGTGGAAATATTGCGTTGCTATGGTATAATTAAATTTGTTCATTGAACATTCATATATTTTTTACAAAAGGAACATTTACAGGCTCTCCAAGTTTGATAATTTCACGAAATATTTATGTAATGACCTGTCAAACATCGCCACAATCAAATATATCTTGGATTGATTCGACATTTTGCTGAATTCCCTCCCAAAAGCCGCGTAGTAGAGACATATTGTTTGTATCATTATGTTTACCTTCTTCAAGTTAAATGGAGATTTGGATTGTGGGAATAAAGACAATAAAAATGGCCCAAATTTCAAAAAATTGTCCTAATTTTCGCAATCCGCATCTTTATTGTTTGTATTGTAGAAGTTATTTCAAAGACAGCCGTTGCTTTTGGCATGTTTGTTTGTTTCACATATTATTTCAATCATAAGTAACAAGATTACGGATTATCTCAAATTTGGACGATGCACATATCACAAAAATACCTGAATGATCTATGTAGATCCTCGAATGTCATGTGGCAAGCAATATTCCCACACTCAAATCAAATTGAAACCATCATGACGTACAAATTACCCCGAAATAGTAGTAAAAGTAAGGAAATTACTCATAACTTGAAAACGCCGCAACCGATTTCGATTTTTTTTTCTGCGATGAAAAGGCGAATGATGTCGAAATAAATCCGTGATGAAAAATACAGGGTGTTCCATTTGAAAAATTCTTATGATCGTCGTCTGAATCTTACAATATTCAGAATGTAAATTTTAGCACCCTGTAGAGGATTATCTCGCAAGATTACTGGATTGGTATACGTGAGACCTTGCTACTACTGTATGCCAAAAATATTCTCGAAATTTCAATAAATGAATATACCATACCCAATTGAACATGACCCTTCAATAGCAGTAAAAATGGGTTTATCAATTATAACTTGGCAACGCCGCAATCAAATTCAATTTTTTCAACAGCGATGTGGAGCTGAACTTGAGCAGAATGAATTTCGAATGAACAATACTGGGTGTTCCATTTGAAAAAACTCGTCTTCGAGTTGCCCCGCTTTTATAAAACACCCAGTATTGTTGAAAATATTTTCGAAATGAGCAACTTTAGTAACTGAAAAAGTTTTTTCCCCAAAGTTTTTCTCTTGCGATAATTGATTCCGAGATATCGAAGAATTACGCACTAAATGGACACACTGTATAATTTATATTGACTGAATGATTTCTACAAGTATATAGAATATAATTCCGCTCCTCTCCTTGATAGGTATTCATTTTTTGCGGGCGCCATCAGGCGCCCATGGTTCTATTCTATTAAGTGACAATCTGATTGTCAACATCCAACTAGCTTTTTAGCACGGAAAATATAAAAACTTGATTCTAATTACATTCCTATATAACTTCATCTCCACACGGTATAAATAAATTCCATTTATTGTCATTACTTTTTGGTCGACTGCTTTTTGAAAAAATGAGGACTCGATTAGATAATTTCTGACCTTTTCCGGTAAAATTTAATGAACTAAAACTACTTATATTCTTATCACACGATTTATTAATAATAAGTAAGTCGTTTGTTTTGAGGCCTTTTGTTTTATCTGTAAATATTGTTAGTGCGAGTGTGTTGTAGGAGGAATGTGAAGGTTTTGTTCCGTTTGAAATTCAAGAAATAACGATTCATGTAAATTGAAAGTGGTACGAGGTAAATTGTGCAGTTGTGTAGGTAGTAAACGAGCAATTTCATATGAACAGATTCATTAAATAATATAGGGTCAGTTATGAATAATGTTCATATAAATCTAACAGCGAATTGCATGGTCGATTAAGAAGCCGATATGCCTTAACCCATTAGCGCCGGAATTATTTCTTCCTTTTTTTCTGAAATTTTATGGCCATCAACTAGTGTGAAATGCTTTCGAAAGACGGGAAAAGTTTGAAGAATCATAAATGGGATTCAGGTTTTCCAAAAATCTGCTGTTGCCATATGGCAACACTAGGAATATGACCACAAATACTCACCTCCATCACGTTTTGAACACAGTATTTGTCAAAATTCAGCTATTTTGCATGGCTACATCATATACCCAAGTGACTAGGGGCCAGTACGAATTCCTATACGCGGTAATAACTAATATTTTGATCCATCAGTTTCGACTATGAACAAATAGTACCACTTGATTACTTTCAAAAACAACGCATACCACCTGGTTTCTTCTGACAAGTGCTGAATAACTCTCAGTCATCTAATTATTTGACCCATTACATATTGGAATGGAAGTATAAACAGAATTCCGAAGACAAGATTGCCCGGCCAATGGTTCAACATCCATTGGCTCGGCCGGAGATTCACCACATTCGCTGAGTTTAAGCGCCTAGCGTTGCCAGATGGCAACAAGAATATTTGCTGCAAATTTTCTACACAAAAAACAGTTCTGCAATTTTTTTCAATTAGTCACATATATAACTTGAAGCATGTGCAGCATAATTATGAAAAATGTCGCAAAATCAAATGCGTGAAAACAGGATGATACGTAAACGAACGTGACGTCCATGTTTTACGTCAGTTCAATTAAGCTCAAAGTTTCACAAATTCACGTGACCGAAACAGCTTATACTCACAAAAAAGAAATAGCGGCCTGTCAAGCACATGCCGCCATTTCTTTTGCGAATCATGTGTACTGTCCCTCACCCTAATAGCTAAATATTTGACTGTCAGGGAATCATTTGAATCTCCATATGGCAACGCACGGCGCTAATGGGTAAATTATGGGTATATTCAATAGGATATAGGTAAATGACATAAACCGAACTCAAAAGGATCTTGGTACAGTTCCTCCATTCACTGTTGGTTTTGAAGATGATTAATTTTCAATCAACATAGTATTGATCCCAGAGATATCACATTTATGTCACACAAACATCACCTGTGACTCAAATTGAGATTTTTACTGAAATCACCACTACTGCTTCTCTGGTTGCTTTTTGATTATTTTTTCATTCACATCGGGATTCCAAATGAGACTTCTATATACTGATTAATTTTAAAATACCTACACAATATTTACCAGATCGATACAGTCTATCAAATAAAATATTTCGAAAATGATTGAGTCTTCTAATCGAAGATCTTCAATTCCTTGAGGAATCCCATTTCAATAATACCACAAGAAATATTGTACAGAATTGACGTAAAAATCGTTACAGTGTATAGAATTTTGATCCTTAGATTTTAGGTAGACAGTCTATAGTAATCAGTTCACCCTATTATGGGGTGTTCCATTATGCTGTTTTTACAATTATTGTTATTTGCCAGGATTATCTTCTTGAAAAGTGTGGAGAAATGAATGTTAAATACTTATGTGAAAAGTGTGTAAAGTTGTACTTTCTTCAGGGGTAGGAAATAAGTAAAATAATAAATAACTATTTTTCCTTCGGAATTATGGGGAGTACGAAGTTCTTACAAGAGTAACAGAATGGAGATAATGGGCGTGTACACCTTAGTAGAACTTTTAACTCAAACCATGTTTATAATGATCCTTTTATACATAAATAATGATTGACGACATAATTCGATCGAAAAATTAACTGGAATGTTTCATTTTTGGACATAAATAATAGTACCTTCTGAAAACGGACCCTCTTATGACGTAGAAACCTCATCTCGTCATAGTTAAAAGAAAATACCAAACATCCGACGGAGACTGAGGCAACTGATATATTAATTCTTTCAACTGTGATCTCGCTCTAATTCACTCTGTCAGAAATCATGTAGCATTCATCTCTGTCTGGAATAGTCTTGTTTCAGTATTAGGGTTTTTACGTCACATCATCGCCTCGTTTTCAGAGGTCCGAAAAGTCGGGGATTTCAATAATTTTTTATAAAACGTAGGGAGCTCACAGCAAGAAACGGTTTGCGGTGGTGAGCTAGTTTGGGTGAGTTCTATCGAATTATGAAATAAATTTTTTTGTGATATAAGCCCATTAATTAGTTTTTCTTTGCGTTAAAGATGTCAGGGGGTGAGGGTACTTTCAATCTTTCTAAAATTTCTTTTGGGTTCTTTTGATCACTGAAAGGGACTGATCCTCTACAAAAATGTGTTGATTTTTGCAAACTTTGAATTTTTGTCACGGAATAATATAATAATGAATAAATTGGGTCCAATCAACCTCATTTTGATTTACTTATATCACAGTAGTAGCTCTGTGTCCCAGCATTTTTGGACACCCTGTATACAGGAAATTTTATTATCAATGGCCGGTTATTACTGGAAATGCAAAATGTTTCTTCGAATGAAAAAAACTGCAGTCAAATGAATACTCATACCACCCGACGCTGTACATAAAACTAATCAGCTTTTTACCGCTTATTTTCGCATTCACGAAGCATAACGACACACCAAACGCATAACCTTTCCTGTCGAAATGTTAATGACACGTCTGGGTTCGGTTCTTCCGCAGCGCAATATCCGTACACTTCCGGTTACCTGTCGGAACCGGAACCAGGGGCGTACGACAGCGATTTCGCCGATCACAAATACCAAACGTTGGATAGGAGGAGGCCGGATACGCAGGATAGGCCAGAATTCGCCACTTCCACCATGCCCAGGAACACCACAATCAGGTGAGTAGTGAGCGCCAGAGGAGTCATAAATATACAGGGTGTATCCCCACTAAGCAAAGTAATATCTCAACGATATTGTAGCAGTATTTCTATGTAATGTGAAATGTTACATCAGATATTCGGGTCGATTCTGTTCGGATCTTGTTATAACATTAATTCTGAATTCCCTCAATTCATTACACAGCAGGGCATTTTCATTCATGCTGTCTTCTCAATAATTCATGGAATTATATTTCAATTCTGACGTTCACAGTATTAATTGTCGAATTCTAACAATTTTGAATGAAAAAGGGCGGAACGACTATGGTGCTCTTGTCACAATGCAAGGTATGTTACTTAATGAATCTAAACATTCGAAAACACTAGCAGTTGTCATTTCTGTGTCCCAACTCTTATCTAACCCAGCGAGCACAAAAACATCTCAGAGATGTTAAAAGTACGAGATTTCGAAACATTGATCCTCCACTGCGATGTTCTGTTCACACATGAATAGAACTATTATAGAACAGCCAATGTCCGCCGCAGGCGGCAATTATCGAGATGTCCATGATATGTCACAAAACTACCTTCTCCCTAGTTCTTTCCAACGCCTTTTCATGGACACAAGAGAACATTTTCAACGCGTCTTGCGCACATTGAATTGCTGTAAAAAAACATTTTTGGGGAACTTTTCTGAAGCCTTTTGTGAAAATGAACTTTTGCATTAGGATGCCATTTCCCTTGAATGAAAAAATGCATTAAAATATTCGGAGTAGTGCTTACTACACACAGACATATAATTGGAAATAGGTTTCCCAATTTTTGAAATGTTCTCCACAATACATAATTTTGCAACTGCGGAGAAGCTGATGTGTATTGATGAATTCGTACTTTTATATATTGATTACACTGAGGCACCGAACAACACATCTTGCATCTGATGGTCATTATTACAAATTAAATGAGTCTTCTAACACAATAAACTTCACCAAATTCCTTTCTGTTCGTTAGCACGCTGCAAACGCGAATGCCAATTGCGAACAAGAAGAACAAAATCGAAAACAAATCAGAATTCATCGTATTGTGACGTAAGCATGAGACGTTGTGGTGGGGCAAACAAAGAAAGGGCACAAAAGAACAAAAACAATACTTTCACTATTCTTCTAACACCTAAGTGCATATTACGCCTCAAAAAAACATCCTCATGCCTACATTTCTAAAACATTCCAAAACATCCCAAGGATACCTCTCAGTAGGCAAACAAAGAAATGCCACAGAAGAACAAAATCATTACTTCGATATCATTCAAAGACCTCTTTGGTCAGTGCATATTACGTCTCAAAATAACATCTTCATGCCAATATTTTCAAAACATCCCAAAACATCCCAGGGATGTTTGTGCTCGCTGGGAACTAATACTTTGAGATTAAACGACTTACCTGTAAGGAAGTTCAATCCTCAATTATACTAGTAGCTGCGTCCTAATTAGATCACTCTGTAGTATTGTTTCCAACTATACCAAAAATGCGCTATGTTCGAAGCAAAATCTCCCTGTATACCTACAATACACTGTCACCGACTCCCACAGGTGACGGCGTGGCCAACGGCTATCGTCCAACTCATTATTTTCTAGCAAAGTTAGAATGACAGATCGCCAAGTACTTGATGGGGTGTTATTAAGTTGTTTCCCGGGGAAGGCGGGACGTGATCTAATTAGGACGCAGCTACTAGTATAATTGAGGATTGAACTTCCTTACAGGTAAGTCGTTTAATCTCAAATTATACAACGTAGCAGCGTCCTAATTAGATCACTCTGTAGATGTTTAAAGTTGAGGCGATCTGTTTTACCAAGGCGTTCAATAATGAAAAGCCTTGGCGTGGGTTTGTTGCAATATTTTTTAATATAACGAATAAAGACGAAGGCTATCAAAATTACAATTTTGAATCATTAATAATAATTGATTCAACATAAGATAAACAATATATAACACGTAATAATTCTTATTAACTATAAGTAATATACATATAATAATTTATTAAATATGGGACTTTTCACTATTCAAAATATAATTTATCATCGAGCGGTCTATTATAGAACTTCGCAAAAGTTTCTGATTTTTTAGACCACCCCGCTGCATCTCTGATAGTGTCTATTTTCGCATCAGCCCTGTATGCCGCGGAGGTGGCCGCGTGTCTAGTTGAGTGTGCTTTGTATTTGGATATGTTTGTCCACATTACATTTCTCTAGCCCAACTCTGATCCAACGACATACTGTTTGTGTGGATGCAGCGTGATGGGGTTTTTTATATGTTAATAATAAATATGGTTCGTTATTTCTAATTTTTGAAGTGGTTTCCATATATTGTATTAGTGTTGAGGCAGTGCATAATTCCGGTTGAGATCTAAAGAACGGAAATAATAATATCGGTTGGGGTCTGCCAGGACCTGACGTTTTAATTAATTCAGAAATGTGAATTTCCACTTCATTCTCTCTTATATGAATATCTGTGAGTTTGATTTTTGCAAAGGTCTGTGCCCTGTGAGCCGATGTGAGAGCTAGTAAAAGTATAAGCTTTTCTGTGAGTTGCGGAAGTGATAATGCTTGTAGGGGTTGCCATTCCGATATTTTGAGGAGAACTGGTTGAGGATCCCATGTTTCTCTGTATCTTGTTAAAGTAGGTCTAGATCTGAAAGCACCTTTCAGAATTCTGGAAATCAATTTTGATTAATCATTATCGAAGTTCAAAATTAGGTTAAGAGCCGATCTGTGGGCATTGAGAGTGGCATGTCTTGCCCCACTTCTGAATTCTTCTGAGAGGAATTCTGAAATATGCTTTATATCCGATTTCAATACTGAATCCTCATTGCCTTTACAAAAATTCCACCACTTTTTCAATGTGGTGTTATACTGTTTTTCAGCGTTTTCACTCAGCGAGGCTCGTGAGATTTCCAGTAATACATCGGCTCGTACATCGGGCATATCTCTCCTCATGTATGCTTCCCTGACAACCTGCCAGCACCCAGGGTAAGGTTTTGCTATATAGAGGGTGTGGTTTGCTAAAAGGTTTCTGTTAGGTTGGAATTCTATGACCTCTGATATGAGAAGAGATTTCAGTTTCGGAAATCACGGTTGTTTTCCATAGTGGAAAAACTATTATTCCTTCAGCCCCATCACTTTCAATCTTATTGACGACTCTAGGCAGAGGTGAAAATGGAGGAAATGCATAAAAGTCTAGATCGGACCAAGAAATAGTGAATGCATCTATTGCCAAGGAGTCAGGATCTCTCTGCCAAGATATGTAGTTTTCACATTTTGTATTTTGTCTCGAAGCAAACAGATCAATTGACGGACTATTTCTTGGTACATATTTTTGTTGAGTGAGTATTCAGTTTCGATGTTCGTGTGTCGTGATTCTTTATCGGCTTGTTTGTTTTCAGTTGATTTGATATATGAAGCAAAGATTATAATTTTCCTCTTTTCGCACCACTGCCATATATTTTTTTGTTATATCATTCAATGCCGGAAATTTCGTGCCCCCCATTCTGTTGATATAAGCCATTAAGCCACGGCAGTTTTATTGCCTACCCTCAAAAGGATTTTGCAACTATCACAGTTTTTTGCAAAACATTTCAAACCATGAGATATTGCATGGATTTCTAAAGTGTTTATATGTTTTCCTTTTTCTGTTTCATTCCAAGACCCTCTGGCGAATTCACCATTACAAGTTGCACCCCACCCTGTTAGGGATGCATCTGTAAAATTTTCTTTTTTAAAGTTCTTATTTCTCAATGAATTTTTCGCTGATGGTATATTATTTAGTCACCACTCGACATCATCTTTAAGAGAAGGAGTTATTCTAAAAACCTTATCGAAATTCCCGCCGAATTTTTTCCAAAGCAATTGATTTTTGTCGTTCCATTTCTTTAGTATAAAGTCAACCGTACGGTATAGCAGGGCAGGCTGCTATTAAGGAACCTATCAGTCTGGCAAATTTTCGAATTCTTATAAATTTTGTATCCTTCACTTCCCTAACGTGAGATATAAGATTAGTTTTCTTCTGATCAGTCAGTGATATAGTCATTTCATGGCTATCAAAAATGAAACCCAAATATTTCATTTTTCGGCATGGGTCTAAAACACTTTTTTGCCTGTTTATTATGAAACCAAGAGATTCGAGAGTTTTGACCGTTATTTGAATATTACGTAAGCATTGTTCTTTGGTAGATCCTAGTAAAAGCATATCATCGAGATAAATAATTGAAGTCAATCCTTGTGATCTCAAAAAATGCAGAATTGGCTTGAACATTTTTGTAAAAACGTATGGACATGATTTTAGTATATGCAAAAGGTAGGGCAGTGAACTCATACATATTCCCATCAAAAATAAATCTCAAGTACATCCTGTGAGACTTGTGTACAGAAACAAGAAAATATGCATCTTTTAAATCGATGCTAGTCATAAAACAGTTGTACGAGATTAGATTTTTTGCTGTTCGATAATCTTCTAATTTGAAGTGGGGAGCTATTACAAATCGGTTCAGTTTTTTCCAGATTGAAAATGAAACGAAATTCGTTATTTTGTTTTTTCCTTAAAAACTAAGACGACAAAAATTGTCCGCTGACATTTTTACATTTTCTCACTGCCCCAATATGTAAAAGGTGTCCCATACTCTCAATCATATTACCAGATAGAGTGGTGGGGTTATTCTTCAACCTGTGTTGGGTATGTTTTGATTGATAAGGCTTTTTGGAAAATGGAATTTTATAGCCTTTCACCCAATCTAAAACCACCCTGTCATTTGTTATATTTTGCCAGTTCTGATAAAAAAGCTTTATTCGACCAGCAAAATTATTATGTACCTCTATTGGCGCCTCCGTTGATTGTCCCCGCTCCTGTTCTTCTGATCGTACCTCTTCTTCTTTGTTTGCTGTCTCTTCTTCTCCCTTCCTTTCGAGGATGCTGTTCTGAATCGAACTTTGTTCGATTGAGCCTTGAAGTTTGAAGAAACCGGCAACGGCGCCCTCATTTCTTTACCTATTGTTTCGGCCGCTTTCAAAGCTTTCCACTGTTCCCCAAAGTTGGAACCATATAAAAATTCATCTGCTTTACTCTTATGGGCTATTTGCTGAATTTGGTTGCTCATCAAGTAATTCAGTCTGTACCATCAGTGCAATGTTAGCGTGCGCTGAACCTCGCATAGCATTTGACCCGAGTTTACCAACATTTCAAGGTCAGAGTTATTAGGATCATTTCGTATTTCTTTCGAGAGGTATATACCTAACGCAGATATGCCTTTGGACAAAAGTTCCTGTACGGCTATGAGAAAATTGTGATTCCTCAATTCAGATGGGTTCATTAGTGCTGCAACTTCGGGGTTTGGTTTTGGGGGTGATAAGAAAGTGCAATTTTCTGGCACTTTCCACTTTTCTACCAGTGATGCTTCAAGGTCTTCGTCGAGTCCTTCCGAAATATAATTTCAATATCTCAAAGCTATATCCTCCTACGGATATTCATATGTTATAACACATATACTCCTTTCGATACCTAAGTCTTCAATTTGTCATTTCCACTTTTATAGAAAGGTAGATATTTTCTACGGGCCAACAGTAAAAGAACGGTGACCTCCATGATAAAAAAAAACATAACCAAAAAAGCATGACTAAATGCCTGAATAGAGGAAACCAAATCCTCAAGGTGACTACGGCAGCGTACATAAAAACACGCAAAAACGCCCGGTTTTTTATGCACGTAATACTGGCTCAGCTGACTCAACACAAGTTAAAAACTGTGCCGGGTTCATATGATATTTCTGGAGAAATAATTCCCATATCGATTCTACGAAGGTAGACAGAACCTCGCATGATAGGTAACTAGGAGCTGGCTCAACACAAGTTAAAAACTGTGCCGGGTTCATATGATATTTTGGAAAATGATTCCCATATCGAGTCTACGAAGGTAGACAGAACCTCGCAGAATTTTCATTCTGCAGCCACAACAATCAATCAGGAAGTACTGAGATTGATCTCCTATTATTTCTGATATTCCAGTCATATAGGCACTAAAACAATTCACATATTAGTTACTTCAATTACTTACTTGTAGTGTATATATGGCTTTTTCCAGTTTCCTTATTTTTGCTTTTGATTTTTCGGTTTATCTTCTTGATAATTTCCTTTTCCGATTTCCTATTTTGACAAGTAATTTCGAACTGATGATAAAGAATTATAAAATGTAAACAAACACAACGCACTTCGGCAGCGCTAGAAACATAATGAGTTGGACGATAGCCGTTGGCCACGCCGTCACCTGTGGGAGTCGGTGACAGTGTATTGTAGGTATACAGGGAGATTTTGCTTCGAACATAGCGCATTTTTGGTATAGTTGGAAACAATACTACAGAGTGATCTAATTAGGACGCTGCTACGTTGTATAATATCCAGTGACTCTAATTCAATCTAACTGATCGATTTTGGTATAGTTGTTTGCCTTTTTATGATCCCAAATTCTGATTGTTCAAGGCAGTTCAATCTTGAGAGCGATGCATGTCGAAACATCCAAACTAAAAAATCGGTTGAAATGGCAACGTTGTTTATCTAACTGAATAGTGAATCATCGATTTCTCTCGAGTTCCAGTACTGTCATGTTCAGAATTATCTGTTACAACTTCGGAATTTCATCTTATAACTCTTGAATTCGAATAAAATTTGAAATAGGTTGATGTCTTCTCTCCGCATTTGTAGATGCCTCCATAGAATTTCAACTAATATATTTAATTTAGTCAATATCTTTTGGGGAGTAAGGATATCATTTGAAAATTGAATACAAATCAACTATAGGTAAGTTATATCTATAGGAATAAACCATAATAAGCACCAGCAAGTCACCCTATGAAAGTTGAAATGAGAATATTTTTGTATTTCAGATCATCATCATCTGATATTCTGAGGAATTCTCGAGACTATCAAAAAAATCAACCAGGGAGGATAGAAAATTATACTACGGGACATTCGTCTATTTCTGATAAAGAAGCAAAACAGGTAAGTTAATTTTAGATTTGCAACATCCTAAAGAATACATGATCAGTGGACCTGTCACTAACTAAAAGAAAACTAAAACTAGTAGATAATTCTAGTTGGTGGTATGTTTGGAAATTGGGGAATAAATAAAGCGTTCGCATTCCTGAATATTTATTGGTTTTCTATTGACATCTTTTTATTTCCTGAAGTGATCAAACGATACACAACTAATTCACTTCCGGTTTTCGACATCGAATGTATTATTTCATCGATTTCAAACATAGTCATGATAGTTTGAGATGATCAGCACATTGAAACATACACAAGGGGTAAAGGGTAAATCAGAACCAACACATGCACTATGGTCCATTTTTGCATTGCTGTTTGAGCCTCAGAAATGATTTTCTGATGGAAAAGCAGTCACAGTTACAGACATATTTTTTCCACATCACTTGAAGATCGACCAGATACAAAATAGCATATTACACACCGAAGTGGGAAGAGAGTCATTCCTGTCGTGAGATTAGTTATTAGCTATGACCTCGAGACAGAAATGAAACTGCCTACCGAGGTTTCTATACTATATCATTCACAATCATAATATTTCGATCAGAATTCATAAATCTCTGTTTCGTTCTGAACATACCTGAAATATTACATAAGTAAGGGCGGGAAGTAGAGATGTGTAATGTGACACTTTCCAACTTTTAATGACATTAGTAATAACAACATACCATATGTGGTTGTAAATAAAAATTATAGATGAGTATACAGGGGGGACGCAAAATATAGAAAACATCATTTTTGACAAAAAAGTCACTGACAGACATTCGAACAGTGGCTCCTTCAAAAGAAAATAATCCTAAATGTCAAGTACCGATTCTTCAACAAAATTCCAATATATTGTTTTATATTTTGACCTAAGAAATCCAATATCAAATAATGATCCTGTTCATGCAACACACATTCATAACATTTCCCTTACCTCAAACTTCTGTACTGTACTGAACAGGGTGTCAATTTCAAAACTTTCAATACGAATATCTTGCAAAATGAATAATTTGGAAAAGTGCATTTTGAAACAAATGTTATGAAGCTACGATGACCTAGAATCACCATATTTCAGTGAATGTCACTTCCCCTTTTGTGATACTTTAATTGAAAGTAGATATCATGTTTTGGTGTACTCACCTGTACAAGATTGTTTTCCTTCCAAAAATTCTTGTACAGGTGAATACTAATAAATAAGACCATTCGTTTTGGGGCACCACAAAAGGGATTACCATTTGAAATTTTGAAGTTGGGATGTATCGCGCCTAAGAAGTGACTCATCCCCCTAACTTTAGCACTTGTGTTTTCAAATTAACACCCTGTATATTGAAAACAGCGTGTTTTCAAATTATATCAGGAGAATAGAATTCTACACATCACACATTCCCTTGTATCAATATGTATTGAAGATGTTTCTACAATCTCCACATATTTTGCAATCTAACAATATGTATCATAACCAAATTTTGCAATAAAGACCCATTTTTCGATTCCACAACTGAACTACTTAATAAAAACGAATTTTTGATTTTTTTTGTAGTGGTGGGACGAAGTCATGGATATATTCGATGGGGTACGATTTTTATGCAATTTATTCAAATAACCCTTCCCACGTGTCCTACAGAGTGGTCCAATTTCCTCGATATTTCAACAATGGGTAGATAATGCAAAAACTACGATTAGATAAACATACTTTCCATTACCTACGTAGCTCTACATCTTCTAACTGATATTGAACATCCGGCAATATTACAAAATTAATTTATATCTACTCCTGAACTCGCCGAAAGCAAAGGCTTATTTTCGGCTGTTAATCTTAAATCAACGATATATAAAAATTCCAAACAAAACTCAAAAATCAGAATCTCCAAAAATATATTCCATTTTATTTTGATTTTGGTCCTCGATTTCCCACTAAATTCATCGGTATATTATATTTTAATAATAATATATTATATTTGTTTTATTTGTGTCCTGAAGATGACAACTCAGTTTCTTTTCTAAATAGTATTCTATGTATATTTTGTGTTTGGGCATTCAGCCACACAGTATATAGCTCCAAGAAAATGAGATAATACATGATATTCTTACATTAAATTGTTTCCGAGTTGTTTTATACATATTCTGGAAATTTCATGGAATGGAAATATATCCAAAATATTTTATCTGGATTTATATTCCCGAATTACATACTCATTATTTCCTAAATTATATATAGGTATACTCATTTGCATTCTTTACTCGTTTCCAAAATATCGAAATTAAATCTGGACCACCCAGTAGATGGGTGTTCCCATATTCTGAGCGACTACGACTAAAAATGAGACAAAAAACATGTGTCAAGAAATGTATCCTCAAACTTTGTGAAGTTCTAGATAAAAATAAAATGAATTTTGTACTTTTGTTTAGAGGCATACCTAGCTAAAAGTATGGTGGTGGGGTTTAGTGAAATATTCAGCATTTGGGCATGTAATTTTGTATTTCGGTGCTTCTTTTGGCTCATATAATGCCCTGAGATGGAATTCTTCGACACAAGTTTATGTTCTGTTCCCATTCCATAGTCGTAAAATCCGCTGGAAAGTTGACTTTGGGACACCTTGCATATAGGAATGAAGACTCTCTTCTCGGAAAAAAGATTTGTGGTTCGAATAATTTTCCGAGAAGAAAACGTCTATCAAACTGAAATGCTATATTGGAATAACATGGGCAATGGGTGTATTTTTAATACTAACACTCGTTTTTTTCGAAAAAGTGGCTAGATGATAACTCGGCACTACCCAGCTATGAAGTTATGTTCGCAACGGCTCTAGCAAAATCTGTAAGGAAATGGAGCATGCTTCGATTTTTTCCACTTTTCGACTCGAATAACTTCCATCAATGTTTTTTTGAGGTCTCTTCAATATATCAGATGAAGTTATACAGGACGAGTCAAAAATGTGTACCGAGCTTCCTGGAGGTGATAATACATTGAAAAATAAGTATAATTTGATGAATAAACTGATGGGCCATAATGTATATTGAGATATATATCCTCCCAAAATGGATCAAATTAAATAGCATATTTCATTACGAGTCTGGAAATAGGGATTTTTCTGTGCGCGTGTGACAAGCAAGCACACAAAAATCAGTTCTGGGCGTGTAATGTACGATATTTTTTATCATTCATTGAAAATGAGAATATAATTATAAAAATATCGAGTAAAGAAGATGAAGAAGACACTGAAACATTTTTATTTTCACAGTTCGAGGAATGAAAAAACTTGAAACTATACTATACCTGGATATACTGGTATTAAATTCGCGGTCGCTTGTTCTGCTTGCTCTAGGATATTATAAGGACTCTATTATCGGAAATTTCGGGATTTTCGTTCGAGTTCATTTGGTCGGCATAATGTCGATTGACAGAGAATGGCATTTATGATTCGTTTTCTATGGTTAGTCTCAAAGTTTTTCCGTGCGATATCCCGAAAGGGCCGATCTTACAATATTACTCATGAAGATGAAAATATTGTTTTATGGTATTCCAAAGACGTATACTAAAAATAATATCTCCGGATACCTTCTAAACAGTAGAAGCCACCATATTGATATTTCCTGATGCATACATGTATGTTGGTAAGATAATATTATAGGGGGTGTTTTCAGAGGGTGGGTCATGATATTTTAGAGATCTTTTTTCTTCGTATTATTCTTGGTGGAAATGTAGGCATAAGCATTTGAATGGCGAAGAGAAGAATCATAAAAATTGTTCCCTCATCATTCAGCAGATGAATTCATCAGTAATAATATTTCAGGAGGCCTCGAACTTCCTGGCCGAATACCACCTACATTTCTCATTTTGAAGCATTCTTCTTCTCGCAATCTTTGTAAATTCTCCAATATTGTTTTAGAATTCTGAACGAGTCGATCAGGAAACATCTTGACATAGCGAATTACCAGCAATTTCTTTAACACTCTGTTAAAAATCGCAGAAATGAAATTACTAAGCAGATAAACTAAACAAGGAATTCAACATTAACAATGTCCATGTCATAAACGTCAATATCAAGAACAAAATTGATCATGGCCTCCTAAAACATTATCACCGATGAATTAAGCTGCTGATATCAAGCGACTACAAAAACTCATAATAATATATCTCGCAAACGGTAACAATTTGCGTCTTATGATAGGATTACAATTTTTATGTTTTATTCTGCTTTATCAAATGCTCCTATTTTTCCACCGAAAAGAATACGAGGAAAAAAGTTGCCTAAAATCATGACCCACTTACTAGAAACACCCTTTATAACAATATAAAAAATGTATCAGAAGAATGTATATTATCAACAGACAATCATGCAAGAAATTCCAATTTCGTGACTTTCACTGTTCAGGAGTTATGCTGGAAAATTATCTCAATTTCATCAACTTCGAAAGGATATATTTCCCTTAATATAATCCAGGAAGCTCGGTACACATTTTCGACTCCTCCTGTATACCGAGAGATGTAGAGATAGGTACACATTCCGGAATGATTTGTTATCACTTTCACACCAAATAATACTTCGATATTTTGAGTATGGAAAAGAAGAAGATATACCTACTCAACTCTATCCAACAATAGATTATACCGGGTGGAACGTTTTCGACGGGTGAGCTATCTTCGTTATGATGCAAATAACTAAATAATTGATTATAAACCACTCGGACAGGTCGATTTCACTCATTTTACTGTAATTATTATCATATTCCCAGATTGTAACCTCGGGCACCAACTTTCGATTTTAAAATGGAACACCCTGTACGTTATTCCATGACCCTTACTTTGGAATTCCTGTTCGAACGGTTTTGCATCAATAGGTGATTGGACTATTTTTTTTATTTCTTAAATAGAATCATCACTCAAATACTTTTCAATTCCTATTTCTTGATTTTAAGATGCTAAAATCATCAGTAATGCCACCGTTGCCATATGTTAAAATACAATTGAGAACGTCATAAATATTAGTTATTGAATAATTATTCATCATTTCTCAATTATGAATTGGTAATATCCCTAATTAGCAATAAAAAATCAATTGTCTCAATATGTTCCCCCCTAGAGGACATTTGAACCGGTAAACGTAGCAACATGGCCCTCGAATTGTGAGCGGGGTCTTGTCAGTTCTCAGAATTCAGCACAATGTTGCCAAGTCTTCAAAATTCACATGATATTTTGTTATGGAGTATATTATGGCTGCTCGAAAAACTCAAGAATATACTATAATATCGCATGGCTTCCTCTTATTACGTTTCATTCAACGACATGACTTCAACATCTTTTTGATAAGTTGATTATAAATGGTGTCTTGACAACCTTGCTTCATGATTGGGCATGGGAGATCATCTGACCAATAACGAAACAGCATAAAACTGACGTCACTATTTATTCGATGTATCGCCAAATGGCGGCCGTGACGGTACGTTTGAAATGAGCTCTGGAATTCAACAATCTCGAACAACGCATAGACTCATTTTATTCACATGAAAAAAGTGTGAGAAGTGTAGCAAAAATTAATTTAGGTCCCTAACGACACAGTGAAGTGCCAATAATTCATTATCAGTCCACTCGATCATTGAATCACAACGAAGAAATCTTGAGTGCATGGTCAATGGACCATCTAGTATTTCTGATTATCGAATTAGAAGTATTTATAGGTATAGGCACCTATTTTTACAAAAATAAGCTGTTAATAGATAAGCTGTTAATAGATATGCACAACACTGAAAAAAACTTATTACGCTTTCCTAACATTGAAGTCGAATTTCACGAATCATAATCTACTGGACATTTACTATGCATTGGTATATTCCAGAATAAGTATAAATATTTCTATTTGGGGACTAGCATCAGATGTAAATCGGATCTTCATTATGCAAAAACGTTTTTTGCGTCTGATTTTTGATGTCAAATATCTTGCAAAGAAACATTTGAAAATAACCGTATTCTTACACTACCATGCATTTACCTTTATAAAACGCTAAGTTATGTTCATTTAAATTCCGTATCTTTCATGCAGAATAAAGAAATCCATCATCATTTTACAATGAACAGAAATGATTTCCATTTGACCAAATGTAACTATTCCGGGTATAAAAAATCAAATCCCCAAATCACTCAGGAACAAAATATTTCAATTTACTTCCACAAACCATCAAAAAAGAAAAAAACCATGTGAAATTTACAAAGCTCCTCAAAGAATATCTTCTAACAAGTTGCATTTACTCCCTCAAAGAGTATGATAACCTCTCTTAATATGTATTTGCTGTACTATTCATGAGTACTTTGTTTGTATATTTGTTTTTTTTTGTTTTCGACGTGTCACATATACAATTTGTATCAAAAATGACGAAATAAACTTGAACTTGAACTTGAACTTGATAGATTGATGAAACAAATTTATTATTTCATGCTTAGACCATTCCCGCTTCGCTCAAGAATGCTGATCGCCTTCATTATAACTATGTGTGCAACATACAAAAACATTAAACGAAGAGGACAATATATCTGCATCTCTCAGAGAAGTCAAAATCAGCATTTCACAGTTAAATGAAGCGAAAATACCAAGGGAAACACGAATATGTAGATTATGTGAATCAATAATAAGATTATTTCAAATTTCATGCGACAGAGTGGGTTATCCATTGAGAATATGTCAAACAATAATTTGATTTGAATATATGAATATACAGGGTGTATCCAAATGACACCGAAAATATTCAAGGAGTGATTCCTTGTGATATTCTAGCAAATAAAGTTCATATCAACATGTGTTCTAACTTGCTCCGTTTTTAAGGTACAGGATGTTGAAGTTGGAAGTATAAATTGTTTTTCTTTATGACCACCCTGTATAAGCGTTCATGGTGCCAAAATTCAGTATGGTTGGAGACTGAGTAAACCCCCAAAATACCAAAATGATTCAAATCGGGGTTATTGAGTAATCTCAATGGAAGTCTTGAAAACACACCTACATTAAAATTTGGAGTCAAATTGAATTTTTATTGTTTATTCCTCAAAAATTAGGCTAGATACAAAAATTACACAGGGGCTAACAAATTTTTTATTTCAATAGTAAAATCTAATAAAAATATAAAACTCAGAAAAACCGATGGCGTACAATGACATTCACCATAAATAACGATAAATTTACCCACTGTGACGCCACTGGAAATATTATTTCGAATCTAATTACACCAGAAGAAGCTCCATATTGATAATAACAAAACCACAACGTTTTATTAGCTTGTTATTCTGTTTTCAGAGCCGTATTGGGGCAGAGATGAGTTACCTATCTCCGAGTAACATCAAATATTTTCTTGAAAGGTGTTATTCATAAGTGTCATAAAATGACGTTCGAATTTGGAAATTAGAACTCATCAGTGAAGGATGTTAATATTTTGTATCCTAGTTGGCATGTTTCTGCGTTTTCAACAAGCAGTCCATTTGAGTGAAGTGAGAGCTCTGAATCGTCTAAGCATTCATCAATTATTGTGACATTTTGCTAATTTATACTTTGAAACTGGAACGAATGATACAGAATTCAAGGTAGGTACAAAAACTAGGATAATTTTTCACGAGTTTCAATTCACTAGTATAGCGCCGTAATCAATAAATATTTCAGAATAAGAGACTCTGAAAAATAACACTCAATATGAACGACGTATCTATCAACGTGCAAATCGAATTAGGAATTGACAATTCTTGAGATTCAAATTCAACAATTCAAGTGAACTTCTCCTATATCGAAAACCAGTTTCGAAATAATACTCATGTAATATTTTCAATGTTTCTATTGATTGTCCAAGTTAAACGAGTTGAACCTGAGACATCCTGGTATAGTAAGTATCATATTATGAGTGTCATGATCATGATCAAACATTCTCATTATTCTAAGTCATCATCTGAATAACAAAATGGTGTTCAAGTTATAATAAATCATCCTGAAATGTATCTTGCTACTCTCGTTAGTCTCGTTGAAAGCCTGTAACATATTTCTGGTATTTTGAAATGGATATATGTTTCTCCACAGTATTTTCACTCTCACACTATACACAATTCGAAGGGCATCAAATTTTCAAGAAACAGCATGATTTTCCAGCATGGTTGGAAATTTCAAACAATGGATTACCAACTCACACTGTTGCATGATGGACACCTAACAAACGATATTTTGATTATCGAGAATATTTCTTGAACTTCGACTCATATTTTTTTTCCTTTGTAGCATCTCGAGCATCAGAAAAGAGTTCCTCCACAACCCAGAAGCTTCATCAACCAGTAAGTTCAAATCGCCAGTATCAACAGAAGCGTTTTCAGAATTTTCACTTCTCCAATTAACCTGAATGAATAATACCCCATTATATGCGAGTAGAATACTATACTTTGTCCACGTCTTTGATATATTAATTTATTTTTAATAATTGACTCATTTGACATTGGGAAAACTAAAAATTGAAGATACCTGTTATATATTGATTATTTGTCCACGACTGTTGTACTTCCTCAAGCAAAACGATAGCCATTTTTTATACCAATGAATAATAGCAGTGAATAACCATAATTCACTGGTCTAGATAGAATTCTGGTTATTCACTGCTATTATTCACTGGTGTGAGAAATGACTACCGTTTTGCTCGAAGAATTACATGTATAAATAATATTTCAAACAATCATTCGTGGATAATAGTATATTATTCAATGAGCATATAATGAGGGCTATTTTTCACGAAGTTTAAGTTCATGTCTCATTATTTGCGAGTAGAATACTATGCTTTGTTCATGACTACTATTATTTTTAATATATAAATTCATTTTCAACAACTGTTTTATCATAACTCATTTGACATTGACAAAACTAAAAATTGAAGATACCTGTTATATTTCTCATTTGTCCACGACTGTTGTACTTCATCAAGCAAAACGATAGCCATTTTGCACAGGAAGATGGTAGAGGAGAACACCTTTCTCTCTCTTGTTCACGAAAGTGAAGAGCTCAACTTACATCTTTATAGAACTGAAAAATCAATAAGGAATTCATCATTCAGTAATTCACGGTCTGCTAATTTGAATGTTGCACGCATGATCCTAGACGGAAAAGTTACTGAAGACGATTCTGTACCAACTCAAAATAACAACCCACTGAGCCAAAGTGATATTTTGACGATGTTACGAAATTATTTCAATTTAATATGCAATGTAACATCAGCGATTGTCGCAATCTTAATACGCAAGGTCTCAGCAACTACTTACGTTCAGTAATATCTATTATGAAGGTTATTGCAACATTACATATAGGGTACAGTATCATTACATGTTTATTTCAGTGGAATCTACCTTCTTGCAATATGGCAGCAAAGTTACTGGCTACATTAGTTATTTGTAATGAGCTTTATATTGCAATTAAAAATTTTCTTGCACTCGCACCTTGCACAGATATTGTTTGTAGATAGTCTATGTAATGTTTCAATTATATTGAACATTTATAGTTGATGCAATATTGCTATTGCAACTGAAATAAATCGGTCACTTAGTAACTACAAAGCACTTTTTCCTGTTATATTGTTAACTCCAATAGCAGCAATCTCCATGTTAAATAAGCAAGTTCTACATTATGTTGTGGCAATATTTCATAACATTACATGTTTAGTAGAAACTTATGTTTAGGGCATTGAAAGAATCGGGATACGAGAGCGACTCAACGCTGGTTTTCAGAAGAAAAGAAGATGCCTCCCTTCAGCTTAGTCCGAAGGACCAGAAGCAGGCATACAAAGTCATCCAAAAGGGCGGCGATGTACCCCTGCACGGATTGAGGAAGCCGGCACCAGAAAGACCAAAAGGTAAGGAAAGCCAGCTCAGATCGTGCAGACTTTTGCTTACTGGAGTCAGGTGAAGGTAATGCATATAACAAAGGAGTGAATGGGTTTATGACGGAACTTTTTGGCAATGAAAATCAGTTTTGCAGAGAATCTGTATTCAATTTTCTCATTGACGAATTGAGTTGCAAAATAGTGTGTATTTTTCAATCTGCATCGAATATCTTCAGTTCTATTAGTTTTATACGTGAAAATCCAAGCAAGGAGGCGGAATATACATTTTTCAAAATTGTTGGGATTTTATCTCCTGTTCAATATACTTGTAGCATGGACAAATCTGATGATATGCCCCAAAATGTCACTGCGCTTGACATTCGATTGATATTCAGTGAAATAACATGTATTATTCTTACACCGTAAAGTGCTAGGGCTGCAATTGGTCTCATCAAAATCGACAAATCTCGAAAACTGTGATGGATAAGTTGACTCACATGAGGTTGTCAATTTAGAATCAGAAAGCCAATCGAATGATGTGGGAAGAAATTTAGGTTCCTATTCAAAATAAGGAAGTTGGTGTCGACTTTTGGTGTACCTTGTATGACTGGAGGAATTGAATTATTAGAAATGATAGATTCAACTGTGAGTTGGAAATTTTTTCATGTGTGCCTTACGTAAATTACCCTGGATACATATGTGCACGTCTTCTGGTATTGGCAGTAAAACTTCCAGATATTCTTTTTTTTTAATAGAACTAGAGATATTTGATTGGAGAGTTGATATAATATTGTCGGTTAATATCCGATAAACTAAAGAAATCTTTGCGGTCAAAAAACTCCCAAGACTCGATTTTTCAGCCTTTGTTTCGACTATAATTCTTTAACCAAGTTTATTCCGAAAGTCTAATGAATTTCTCATCCTCTAACGTTGGTGGCGGAGCTACTAAAAAAAGGTTTGTTTCACTATTACTCTCAAAGTTTCAAAGCATGCCTAGCGTACATGACCTGTACTAAAAAGTATTTGAGCTTCCCTACCACACGGAATACTTCACACCTATTTCTTCCAGATCACAACAGCACACCTTGTATAATCGAAAATAAAACCTATCGAACTAATTGATTTTCCACAGAAACAGACTTCGTGGAGTTCTTTCCAATTTCACCGACTCTGACAAGAATTCGAATTCACAAAAACTGCAAACCCCAGAAGGAAGTACTTTGCTACCCTGTCACAGTCCATCGGGACTCCGAAGATACTTTTTCTGCGTACAAAAGAAATGCTCCTTCGTCCGCAATCCCCACTCCACCACCCATACCCCCTCCTTCCCCACCAAGAAGAAGGTCTTCGAGAAATAACCCCACATTGCGACTTGTGTCAACCATGAAGGTGAAAACTGAAAAGTCTCCCATTTGCAGAAGGCACGAGACTTGCTTCACTACTTCCTCGAATATCGACAAGTCTAAAGTCAACTATTTGAAAGATAAAATCACATGTAAGCTATCACCGACCTCGAGTAAAAGGAGTTCGAGTCCGAAAATGAGGGTTGTCAAAAAGGTTACGACTGCACCTGATATGAAGAACAAAATAACCTCTTCGATAACAACATCAAGAGATGCTAGAACTTCTTCAAGAAAAATTCAAAGTAAAACAAACATGTACAGTAGTATACCTCGATCTAAATCCACAGATTCTGTGAAGAAATTGTTAAAGGCCCCTACTAGAGATAGTCCAATGCACTCGTCAGTAGAAAGTCTGAATTTGATGAAGGGTTCTCCAAGAACTTTTGGAACAGAAAAGCGAAGATTTGATATGAATGTGAGAACGAATAACAAACTCATCCAGCCACCAGGACTTGTATCACCTACTGAAGTCAAAAAAGCTGAAATGATGCATTCATCAAATGGAACAACTTTCAAGAAAACCAATGCCATCATATCGTCTTCTAAGAACGACAAAACTAAAGAGATTCTTCCTATAAAGGTCGGTGTGACCGACCAAGGCAGACAAATTTTGAGAAGCAACCTATTACTTTCGCCAGGACTTCCAAAAAGATCCACACCTAGTCCATCCACTTCTTCTGAAAAATCGAGACTTCTCAAGTCATCTTTAGAATCTTTGAGTTCCCCGAAAAGTTCCAGGAAAGTTAAAGATTTCATTAAACCTAATGTTATAAACAAATCTAAATCGAAAGAAGAAGTGATCCAAAAATCTAAAAAAGAAAGAATCAATGATGAAATCAAAAAAGACAAACAGATTAATAAAAATAAAAGAACTATTGACAAACCAATAACATATCTAGGCAACTCGGGAATCGATAAAAATAAACAACCTGTTCCTACCTCAGCTCTAGAAGACAAACGGAGACAAAAAAATGTAATTGAGAGCAATCACTTCTTCCAGCATCTCTTTTTCAGAGACACTCCACCTCCATCACCGACATTCAACAAACATTCCTGGATAGCTGAGAAAACTAATCAATTAAACCGAAGAAGAGCGTCATTTTCAGAGCCAAGTGTTAGTGCCATGAAGGTTTACCTTAAACACACTAGGCCGGTGACTGATTCTAAGTTCATCAGTCTCGATTTGGCAACCATAAGATCCAGATCAGCTAGCCCTAGAACTGTTCATTTCGATAGTAGTAGTAAACATGAAGAAACAGTTCTCGCCAAAAGAAGTTCAAGTTCACCTCCAAAACTGATATTATCACAGACCACTCGACCTATTTCACCCTTAGTACAACACAAGAAATTAGTGTCACCACCTCCCTCACCTAAATTATGTAGATCACCAAGCTGTAGAAGAATAATGCAGTTCAAAAATCTGCAGGCTGAAAGGAGAGCACCAGAGTACAATTTATACATGTGTCCAAGTTCAAATCTAAGTAATACATCTTTGGATTCATTAAGAAGCGAAGATTACCAAAAGTACTTCACTGACTTGGTACACAGTAGCAGAAACTTCAACAAATTCAAAGATTTGAATCAGTTTTATTCCGAGATAGAACAAGTGGGAAAGTTAGAGAGAACTTTTAGTCTGAAGCCACGAAAAAGATGCGAAAATCAAATAATAGACTTTGATAGATGGAAAGAGGTAAGGATGCGCGAGAAAGCCGAGTTAGAGCTCAAAACATTATACAATCATATCAAAGCAGAAGAAAAAGAAAAAGGTTTCTTGTATTTACCAAAAGATGTCGCTAAGTTCAGATGGAACAAAGAATTTGACAGAGGCCTCAGGGGAAAGGAGAAGTCTGTAGACAATATCAAAGAAGAATTTGAAAAGATAAAGTTCGAAGAATCCGAGAGGGAAAACGCTAGACGAAGAGAGCTTGATTCACTGAAAGATACTTACAAACCTCTATGGAGAGGAAACTCTGTAGCGAATATAGCAAATTCAATAGTGGAGCGAAGATCACAATCAGAGGGTAGAATCAAAACAGCTAGGCAAAGACTATTGGACTCAGAAAAACTGTTGACCCATGGAATAGGTAGCCGAATATGGAGCAGTCTGTCCATGGAACAAGTGAATATTCTCAAAGACCAGCTTGCTGATATATACAACAATATGCCAAAATCTAAAGACGACTATACAATTCAAGTTCCAAAAGACAACAGACAATCTTACGTTCCTACCCTCACAGTCAGAAGAAACTCTGACTTTTCTGAGCGGATATACCATCCATCAACATCCACTAAAAGTTCTAACATGTCTGAAGACGATAAAAAACTCATTTCGCAAACTTTGAGCAAGGAACTTCTTGAAAAACTTGCCAAGCACCGAAGAGATAATGAAACAAGGTTGCCCATTGTTTGTGGAAAAGAAACGCTTGGAGCTGTGGCTGCTGCTGAAGCCAATGTTAAGTCTGGCGGTAAAGAAATAGGCAATCCTCCGAAAGCTTTAGTTCACACTGTAGCACTAGGTAATGAGAAGATACCTTCTACTAGTGAAAATGACAGTGGTAGTACAGATGAAAGCACCAAGACTGTTATATGCACAGGAAAAGACGATATCAAGAAGAAGGTTGAGTATTTTGAGAAAACAAAGGCACTTGAAAGCTACACTCCCATAATTTATAAAGCGGCTGAAAGCAGTTATGACATTGGAGATATAAGTGTCCTCTCTCCCAACCACGAACTCGAAAATTCCGAGGGTAAATCACCAACTCTATTCCAATCGAGATCTTGCCAGAGTATCAAAGAATACTTCGGAGAGAAAGACATCTTGAAATTCGCAACCATCCCTCTTTCCGCAACTAGAAAGCAGAAGTTTTCTCCCAGGAAACCAGAGCTTAGAGCAACTGATATAAGCCCCATCAGATCGGAAATGTCAGTGACTACTAGTAACGACAGTCTCTGTAGAAGTAGATCGATTTCCCCGTACGAGAAACAAGCCTTGGTCAGAACAGGAGGAGTGAAGAAGCTTAAGGATAAATTTGAATATCTAGAAGATGCTTATGGACGAACAACTTTGAAAAGATCAAGGAGTGAGTCTGATCTCACCAACGTCTATCCGAGTATCAGTATAGGGTATGTCGATAGTTTGAGGCGAAAATATGAGTACCCTGCATATTCAGGTAGAGGTAGAAGTAGAACAAGAAGGGGCGGAGTGATTTCACCATTGTTTTTGAGAGCAGAAGATAGATTCATGCCCCATATCAACATAATAAGCAAAATAGCTAGTCTCTATAATAAGAAAAACGGTAAAAATTGCAAGGAAAATCGACGAGGCATAGAAGAGTTGGCAGACATCCTTGGTTGTCCCGTTGGAGAGGTTGAGAAGCTGAAAGAAAAATTCGATAGCCAAGATGACATATCTTTAGTTGGGCATATGTACACGTCATCCCCAAGTATAAGGGAATTGACAGACATAGCTCCGTATCTCACAGCTAATTGGACATCCCATCGTTATCCCAGATTTGAGGATAACACTAGGTCCTTGTCTTCTCCAGAAAGTACTGCAGGTTCGAGAGACACCGCGTTGGTCCGTAAAGGTAAAACAAGGCCTAAGTCAATGTCCCCTCTTCCTAAACC